CGGTTAGAGATACAGGCCTGGTTCTGGCATCAAATTAAAGTCCTTTCAAAACCCTAAATTTCAAAACCCTACATTTTCGACTACATGGACGACTCTCTACTCCCAGCAGAAGCGGAGATATCGACGGAGGAAGGCTGGATATCAACGGAGAAAGGCTGGAAAACTTTAAACTTCGATATCTCCTAAACGGTTAGAGATGCAGGCCTGGTTCTGGCACCAAATTAAAGTCCTCTCAAAATCCTACATTTTGCCGTAAGTGGCGACTCTCTACTCCCAGTAGAAGCGGAGATATCAACGCAGAGAGGTTGGAAAACTTTAACCTTCGATATCTCCTAAACGGTTAGAGATACAGGCCTGGTTCTGGCACCAAATTAAAGTCCTTTGAAAACCCTACATTTGAAAACCCTACATTTTGGACTACATGGACGACTCTCTACTCCCAGCAGAAGCGGAGATATCGACGGAGGAAGCCTGGATATCGACGGAGAAAGGCTGGAAAATTTTAAACTTCGATATCTCCTAAACGGTTAGAGATATAGGCCTGGTTCTGGCACCAAATTAAAGTCCTCTCAAAACCCTACATTTTGCCGTAAGTGACGACTCTCTACTCCCAGTAGAAGCGGAAATATCAACGCAGAAAGGTTGGAAAATTTTAACCTTCGATATCTCCTAAACGGTTAGAGATACAGGCCTGGTTCTGGCATCAAATTAAAGTCCTTTCAAAACCCTACATTTCAAAACCCTACATTTTCGACTACATGGACGACTCTCTACTACCAGCAGAAGCGGAGATATCGACGGAGGAAGGCTGGATATCAACGGAGAAAATCTGGAAAACTTTAAACTTCGATATCTCCTAAACGGTTAGAGATACAGGCCTGGTCCTGGCACCAAATTAAAGTCCTCTCAAAACCCTACATTTTGCCGTAAGTGGCGACTCTCTACTCCCAGTAGAAGCGGATATATCAACGCAGAAAGGTTGGAAAACTTTAACCTTCGATATCTCCTAAACGGTTAGAGATACAGGCCTGGTTCTGGCACCAAATTAAAGTCCTTTCAAAACCCTACATTTCAAAACCCTACATTTTCGACTACATGGACGACTCTCTACTCCCAGCAGAAGCGGAGATATCGACGGAGGAAGGCTGGATATCAACGGACAAAGGCTGGAAAACTTTAAACTTCGATATCTCCTAAACGGTTAGAGATACAGGCCTGGTTCTGGCACCAAATTAAAGTCCTCTCAAAACCCTACATTTTGCCGTAAGTGGCGACTCTCTACTCCCAGTAGAAGCGGAGATATCAACGCAGAAAGGTTGGAAAACTTTAACCTTCGATATCTCCTAAACGGTTAGAGATACAGGCCTGGTTCTGGCACCAAATTGAAGTCTTTTCAAAACCCTACATTACAAAACCCTACATTTTCGACTACATGGACGACTCTCTACTCCCAGCAGAAGCGGAGATATCGACGGAGGAAGGCTGGATATCGACGGAGAAAGGCTGGAAAACTTTAAACTTCGATACCTCCTAAACGGTTAGAGATACAGGCCTGGTTCTAGCACCAAATTAAAGTCCTTTCAAAACCCTACATTTCAAAACCCTACATTTTCGACTACATGGACGACTCTCTACTCCCAGCAGAAGCGGAGATATCGACGGAGGAAGGCTGGATATCAACGGAGAAAGGCTGGAAAACTTTAAACTTCGATATCTCCTAAACGGTTAGAGTTGCAGGCCTGGTTCTGGCACCAAATTAAAGTCCTCTCAAAACCCTACATTTTGCCGTAAGTGGCGACTCTCTACTCCCAGTAGAAGCGGAGATATCAACGCAGAAAGGTTGGAAAACTTTAACCTTCGATATCTCCTAAACGGTTAGAGATACAGGCCTGGTTCTGGCACCAAATTAAAGTCCAATCAAAATCCTATATTTTGCCGTAAGTGGCGACTCTCTACTCCCAGTAGAAGCGGAGATATCAACGCAGAGAGTTTGGAAAACTTTAACCTTCGATATCTCCTAAACGGTTAGAGATACAGGCCTGGTTCTGGCACCAAATTAAAGTCCTTTGAAAACCCTACATTTCAAAACCCTACATTTTCGACTACATGGACGACTCTCTACTCCCAGCAGAAGCGGAGATATCGACGGAGGAAAGCTGGATATCGACGGAGAAAGGCTGGAAAACTTTAAACTTCGATATCTCCTAAACGGTTAGAGATACAGGCCTGGTTCTGGCACCAAATTAAAGTCCTCTCAAAACCCTACATTTTGCCGTAAGTGACGACTCTCTACTCCCAGTAGAAGCGGAGATATCAACGCAGAAAGGTTGGAAAACTTTAACCTTCGATATCTCCTAAACGGTTAGAGATACAGGCCTGGTTCTGGCACCAAATTAAAGTCCTTTCAAAACCCTACATTTCAAAACCCTACATTTTCGACTACATGGACGACTCTCTACTCCCAGCAGAAGCGGAGATATCGACGGAGGAAGGCTGGATATCGACGGAGAAACGCTGGAAAACTTTAAACTTCGATACCTCCTAAACGGTTAGAGATACAGGCCTGGTTCTGGCACCAAATTAAAGTCCTTTCAAAACCCTACATTTCAAAACCCTACATTTTCGACTACATGGACGACTCTCTACTCCCAGCAGAAGCGGAGATATCGACGGAGGAAGGCTGGATATCAACGGAGAAAGGCTGGAAAACTTTAAACTTCGATATCTCCTAAACGGTTAGAGATGCAGGCCTGGTTCTGGCACCAAGTTAAAGTCCTCTCAAAACCCTACATTTTGCCGTAAGTGGCGACTCTCTACTCCCAGTAGAAGCGGAGATATCAAAGCAGAAAGGTTGGAAAACTTTAACCTTCGATATCTCCTAAACGGTTAGAGATACAGGCCTGGTTCTGGCACCAAATTAAAGTCCTCTCAAAATCCTACATTTTGCCGTAAGTGGCGACTCTCTGCTCCCAGTAGAAGCGGAGATATCAACGCAGAGAGGTTGGAAAACTTTAACCTTCGATATCTCCTAAACGGTTAGAGATACAGGCCTGGTTCTGGCACCAAATTAAAGTCCTTTGAAAACCCTACATTTGAAAACCCTACATTTTCGACTACATGGACGACTCTCTACTCCCAGCAGAAGCGGAGATATCGACGGAGGAAAGCTGGATATCAACGAAGAAAGGCTGGAAAACTTTAAACTTCGATATCTCCTAAACGGTTAGAGATACAGGCCTGGTTCTGGCACCAAATTAAAGTCCTCTCAAAACCCTACATTTTGCCGTAAGTGGCGACTCTCTACTCCCAGTAGAAACGGAGATATCAACGCAGAAAGGTTGGAAAACTTTAAACTTCGATATCTCCTAAACGGTTAGAGATACAGGCCTGGTTCTGGCACCAAATTAAAGTCCTTTCAAAACCCTACATTTCAAAACCCTACATTTTCGACTACATGGACGACTCTCTACTACCAGCAGAAGCGGAGATATCGACGGAGGAAGGCTGGATATCGACGGAGAAAGGCTGGAAAACTTTAAACTTCGATATCTCCTAAACGGTTAGAGATACAGGCCTGGTTCTGTCACCAAATTAAAGTCGTCTCAAAACCCTACATTTTGCCGTAAATGGCGTCTCTCTACTCCCATTAGAAGCGGAGATATCAACTTTACAAGTTGGAAAACTTTAATCTTCGATATCTTCTAAACGGCTAGAGATACAAGCCTGTCGGGGAGGGAATACGGGAGTAGTTCCCCTTACTCCCCCCACCATGGTCCGAATGGTAGACATCCGGCAGGGGTTTTAGTCTGTAAGAGTCTGACATAACCCTCGACCCCCCCAAATGGTCGGGGATATCCATAATGGATTTCCCCTGCGTTACCAAAAAAAAAAGAGATACAGGCCTGTTTTTTTGCCAGAATATAGTTTTGTAGAAACCCTATTCTCACCATAAATTTCGACTCTCGATTCCCAGTAGAAGCGGAGATATTAACGGTACAAGTTGAGAAACTTTAACCTTCAATATCTCCTAAACGGCTCAAGTTACAGGGACGCGCTTTTGCCACAATATAGTCTTACATCAACCCTATCCTCACCATGAATCTCGACTCTGAATTCGCAGTGGAAATGGAGATATTAACAGTACAAGGTAAAAAGTTTAACCTTCGATATTTGCTAAACGGTTAAAAATGAAGGAACGGGCCTTTGTCTCCTAAACGGCTCAAGATACAGGGACACGCTTTTGCCACAACATCAACCCTATTCTCACCATAAAGCTCATCTTTCTATTCCCAGTAGAAACGGAGATATTAACAGTACAATTTAAAAATGTAACCTTCGGTATCTCCTGAACGGCTGAGGATACAAGGTATTGATAGGCTGCCAGTTAAATGGTTTTCGTCTCGAATAAAAATTGAAGAATCCGAAACTTAATTACTTCCGATGCTGAGAGCAGAAATATGTCCGAGACGAATTTAGCTCCTCCATAGACAGTAATAACGCTAGCTACAACTATGGAGTACACTTCGTAACCACTTACTGCGCTCGACACGTTCCCGCCATTAACGACACCTGTGAACACATTTACTTCGTCATCATTGTCCGAAGAAAGAAAAAAAGAAAGATAAAATAAGAAAGAGAGAAAGAAAGAATGGAAGAAGAAGAAAAGGCAGGAGGGAAAGAAAGAAAGAAGAAAAAAAAGGAGGGAAACAAAAAATAGAAAGAAGGAAGCAAAATAAAAAATCTACACTGTTGTACATTGAAGTTGTCTACATTGTTGTCACTATTTTCCGCGTAATTGCTGAGGAAAAATACATCGTATAACGATGAGACATCAAAGGAGCGCAACAATACACCGCGTATCACCGAATATCCAAATATTAAATCAGAATCGCTCCAAAACCCGTCCTTAAATTAACTCTTTCTTTATCCCTGCCAGAATAACTTTTTCTGCTGTTACAAAGAGGTAACGGATTAATAACGTCAATCACGATTGCATACTCCCCATTATTTTAACATTATTTATTTCCATTACGTTTTACATTAGATATAAATAAAGCAATGGTATAACATTAACCGCACAAATCATGTGTGTATGTGCATATGTGCGTATGGGCGCGTGCGCGCGCGCTTGTGTGTGTGTGTGTGTGTACACGCAATTGAATAAATCAACCAAATCCCTTGTTTATAATTATAACAATAATTTAACGGCGCTATGACTTAACTGTGTACTAATATAGACACATATTCATTGATACATCTCATACTACGCACAGTTGGGAATGTTCTTATACAAAAGGTAGTTACGCACGGTATAACGATTAAAGATCATCGTCGGCTAAGTCTTCGAGAATGACTGAATACTAACAAGCACTTTTCATCAATCCACTAATGACTGCGATTGTAACATTATCTGAAGAATCTTGGAGAAATCTTTTTCGTCACTTTTACATTCAACAATTTCATTACAAATTTCGAAAGATCCGACTTTTCTCCGAGGAGAGAGAAGTTCAGAAGAGAAAATAAACAATCGAGTACTGCTGGAATTAACTCGCGAACATAGTCTTTTGATCCAAGATACGAAACATTGAGACCATTGAGACAGTTGATTGAATACGAGCGCGACTATCGGCGTTCTATTCTTCGTAAATTTGCTAACAGGCGCGATGGTACGAAGCATTTCCTTCCTCATCTTCCCGCGCGCGAATGATCGTTGGAGAGCAGCAACAGGTCTGAGGCAGATTCCCTTCAACGACATCCGCAGCGATCCGCGATCATGTCTTCGTGCATCTTCAGTACAACGTTCTCGTTGTCGTCGTAGAAAAGAATGCTGGTGCTGAGCAGCTTCGTCGGCACGCAGCAGGGTCTCCCGACGTCCTTTACCAAGCCCATTTTGTGCACGATCGCCTGTATCGTCGCATGATTCGTCGGCTGTTGGTCTTGCCGGAGCGGCGGTTCGCAGACACCTTTACACTGATAAGCGGAGTAGCCGGGCGGTGCGATGATAGAAGAGGACAGGCCAATATCGCGAAAATCCACGTAGAGCTCGTGTCTGGCGCACTCGCCGTTCGCTGTGCTGTTCTGCACAGAAATCGTCGCGTTGTGACCGCTCATCGTCGATCGCATCGATCGATATTTTCGCGCGATCGATCGTCTCGTCGACCTGCCGCGCACCGTTTGCCCGAGGCCCTCTCGAAACACCGCTCTCTCGTAGATGTCCATAGACGTGAGAATCCTCGCGATTCTCGTGTCCCTCGACGATACGATCTTGGACGAGTGTTTCTTCGTCGACGCGACGTCACGACGACGGCGTCCGCTCGTTACCTCCAGCCTCAGAGCTCCGGCTTCCCGTTCCGACGGTCCGTCGTAGCGAGGAAGACTACCGTCCGCCGGCTCTTCTCCCTTGTCGCGTCTCCTCTTGCGCCTCTGAAAAAGCTCCGACTCGCCCGGTCTGTTTTCCGGTCGTGCCTCCTCCGATTGACCACGTTGCTTGTGTCTTCTGTAATGCTCCACGCTGTCGTATTTGTTTTCCGGATCCATTTTCTCGTTTCTCGCTTTCGTCCTTACGTGGCTCGTCTCTTCCGCCTGTTGGGCATTTTCTAACTGGTATTCTTGGTTGGCGTAAGCATAGTAGCGAGGCGCGACGTTCGTTATTCCGGATTGTTTGCGATCACCCTTGTCATCGTTAAAAAGCACCAGTATCGGCTGTTTGCTGTGATGATAATCCTTTCGACGCGAAAACTCCACCGCTACCTGGTCTTCGAGCAAGGTCGACGCCGTCACCAAAAGACCCAAATTCGGCGCTCCGTTTATCCATTCGAGAACAGCGTGTTTCACATTGAATACCTGTGCAAAACGATCCGTTGATTGCTCATTAACCAAGAACTGATTACACGAGGTAGAAGCTTCTTAGAGATCGGAAATTTTGAAACAATTTCTGCATACAATTGATAAAAGATTGACATTTTTTTAGCTATTTTCATATTCTCAGCATTCTCTTAACGTTTAATTATCATCAAAATTGCAAATTTCTCGTCTTCAACGATACGTCGATCGTATTATCACGATCACTCACCTGCCAGCCTGAATCGTGCGCACCAACGCAACGAACGTTTAGCAATCGATGAAAATCCGGGACGTCAAGACTGCGATCCTTCAAGACTTGGTACACTCTTATCTGCGCAAAGATCAAACGAGCGCGTCAAATGCTCGAATCGTTCCAGCGTACGTCACGAAAGATAAATCGACACTGACCGTGCCAGCCACTTACCAGATAACAGGGTGACGTAAGTGTCGACGGACGCAGATTCTTCAGAGGCATTTTCTTCCGATACAAGTGTAGCTCGGCCTCCAACACTGATTCGTTCACCTCCAGACCCGAGATGTTGAAGAAGTAAAAATATGACAAAGAGCTGGATTCTAAACGCGAAGGAAGAAATATGTTGTTGGGTTAAACCTTAATCCTGCCATTTGCAAACGAACTCTTTAAAGTGATTGAAAGCAAGTTACCCCGCTCGATGAAACTGCGAACGACCTTGGCATTGTAGGGATTCCGACCTTGCGCGACACCGCTGGAATCGACGATGGTGTTGTAAAGCTCTATCATGAATTGCGGCGGCACTTTGCGATGAACCAGATTCTCGCTTTGACTCCGAATGCCGAGGATCTGCAACGTTACCGTTTCCATTAAAAGCTGTGCTCGATCCGGTATTCTCTTGTCATTGCAAAGAACGTTAGAATAAATCGAAACGAGCGAATTCGAGTGCCTTGTTATGCACAAAGTGCGCGGTCACGCGGCATTTTGCACGCAAATTTCGACAAATTATTCAAAACGATCTTCACTGTATTGTACTTTGAACACAACAAACTTCGTGACTCCATGTTTACCGTAAAGAGGAATTACGAATAAATACAGGTAGATGCCGTAATGCGCATTTTCACTTTTCGAGAGATTCGACTCATTTCAAGCCGACCGTCAGCGTTTACCGTATCCCAAACACATCCAACCACCATATGATGACTTAATCCGTAACTTAACCCGTAAATAGTCGTCACACAAACCTCTTGTATCTTTTGCAGAGCTTCTTCCCGTCGAGATGCGAGATCATTCTCCTCCGTATTTAGCTGACCGAAAAACGGCCACGAACTTTTAAGTTGTTGTTCAAGACCATCCTCGTCCTCGAGAATCTCCGACAGATACGGGGTAACGTCTCTCAATGACGCCAATGAGAATAATAGCACCAGTAAACAGAATAAGGCGCTTCTCGTCATCACAATCGGCTGAGATCTGCGTTGATCGTGAGGTAAGATCTACGCTGGAGTAAATTCTACGCGGTCAAGTCGTCGATTTCGTTCTCGCGCCGGAAAGAACCTCTTCCACTCGTGACAACAAATATATTCGACTGTTTCACGTTTTCCTTCTCGTCTCAATCATGAGAGATATGCGTGGAAAATGTAGCGATACTGTCGTCGTCGTCACTGTCGTCGTCACTGTGGCAGTCGCGCATCGACTATGCCTTCATCGCGATCGAGGGATAAGAGCGTCTTTCCCTGAACTCGTCGCGCACCTTATCAACGCGGAAGGGGAGGTAAGAGAGAAAGAGAAAGAGAGAGAGAGAGAGACAGAGAGAGACAGAGAGAGACACAGAGAGAGAGAGAGAGAGAGAGAGAGAGAGAGAGAGAAAGAAAGAGAAAGAAAGTGAAAGAAATGAGAAAGTCGCACGAAGACTTTGTCGAACGGGATACTAAGTGGCATATGGGAGATCTTAACTGTGAGGAGTCACCTTTATGCTATGCCGAGAGTTACCTCCCCCGCATTGCCACTCCGCAACATTGGCTCTTTTCGCTCCTCTCTCTCTCTCTCTCTCTCTCTCTCTCTCTCTCTCTCTCTCTCTCTCTCTCTCTCTCTCTCTCTCTCTCTATCTATCTATCTATCTATCTATCTATCTCTCTCGCTCTCTCTCTTTCCCTCTGTCGTTGGACACAAACCCGACCGACTGCAAATTCATCTTTTTGTAGCAACTTTTCACCTTCATTAACATTCCTTGACCGTTTAACCCAGTGACAAACCGCTCGTGCGCGAAATGAATCCACGTGCTTATGTTCAATTTATTTATTCCAAAATAAATTATGCAACAAAGTTATGTTCGTACGGTATACTGTAAAAATTTTATTGCATGTTTTACGAGCAACCTGCTGCCTATGACATCCGATTCAATTTACTACCTCGATTAACCGGACTTTAAACGCTTAGGTAGATCCTTTCGAATATTACTACAGAGAGCCTGAAACTGAATGAAATCAAAATCGTTTCGTTCCAAAAGACGGGAATATTTTTGGAAACTGAAAGGAGGCTCCTGTATGATTATCTTTTTATTGCACATAAGCTTTCGCTTTGAGTTACCGTATAAATCAAGTACAGCTTGAATATTTTCGTATTTAACACAAAATGCTTCCTTCTTTGTGCGTGAGGAGAAGAATAATTTATTTCTTCGGCTCATTCAAAAGTAGGATGATTTGAAAGCTTTTTACGATAAACAAGTCGATTATTTGGGACCGATGAAAAAAGCGGTACGCGAGAACGACCGACAAAAATTTGAAATACGCTCGCGCTTCGACGATGACAGTGCGCCGCTATTAAAAAAACAGCGCTTCCTAAATCTTGCGTGTTCGTAAGTGCCGAGTTATGTGACTTGTCACGCAGCGATATTTAGACGGATTTGACGTACGATGTTGATGACGCCTATTGTTTTCTAACAAGAAACGCCACGCGAGTATCGCCGGTTTATTTTCGGCAAACTTTCGTCTAGCAACTTCGGTCCTTTTAGCAGCGCGTTAATGATAAATAATCGCGTTACCGCAGAATATAACAAGAAATTCACCGATTGTTAGACACATTGTGAGTGTGTCGCTCATCCCGCGAGGGATCCCTGCTACTAATTTTAGCGCATAATCGATCTTCCGTCGTAACACATTTGGCTAACAATCTTCCTCCGTCGACCCGCGACCCGCTGAATTAGGGTAATCAAGCGCTTGATTCGCCACGTTAATAATAAAGGTATAATACAGGAAACTGCATGACGAATTACGGAATGCGGCTCGTTGGTCTCGTTTCTTCCGCAAAGTGGTTTCATCATCGCGGTAAGTAAGTCGGGATTGGGAACACGCGCGAAGCGCGGACGGGTTTCGGGGTCTCGCTCTCCTTGCACACTCTGTAGGAAACACGTCGTTGATTTATTAGCCGCATGAATCAGTACATTGTATACCTAGGAACGTCGGCATGCGTACCGAGTATATTATCTAAACACACTGTCGTATTCCACCCTTTGCCTTCGATCCGAGGAAACGACGTGACTCTCAGCAATGAAGCGGCAATTTCAGTCTAGACGCAGGCGCACTGAGTAATTTGAATAATTTCTCTCTTCGCACCTCTTCGGGTTCTGAAAACGTCAATTTTATCGTACTTGTGATCCTCCGAATCACTGGATACCGGTTATCCGTCGAGTACCCGATCGGAGATGTGTCCTCCTCCGAGATATCTCTCTGTTCTCCTCGGTGCATTCTCCTGGTTCTCTTCGAAAACGTATAACGCGAAAAATAATTTTGTCGGGCGATTTATAGCCCGACAAAGATAAATGAAGGCGCACCCATCGCGCGGAGTTCTAATTATAAATTGTCGTGGAATCTCAGAGACCGATATTTCGGTTAATCCTGTTGTTCCGGTTAGCTTGATTTATTTTTATTTTGCTCTAAAATTTCTATTTTTAACACTCTTCATCTTTCGCTATCTTTAAACTCTTTGTCAATTCCCATATTTAAATAAATTTTCGCGCAACACGAGAGAGATCTCGGAAAGCAGCGGGCCTTTCGTTTGTATAACTATATTTGGACATACATGCGAGATTCGAGCACAGGATAGCGGGACTAATGAGTCGGACTAATGAGTGTCAAAATCGAAAGGACCATACCTATACTCGTGCACCTTAAATCTGGCTGGCGTGCAAGAGTGCTGCTTCGAATATAGACCTGCTAGACATCTGGTTGGCTCTTTTTTGTCGCGCAAGAGACACGTTTCCGTCTCATTTCCCGGACACGTACCGACGCATTGGCCGACGTTTATTTGCTGTCGACCACAACAAAAATCAGGAATAAAGTCGTAGCGCGAGAAATTGATAGCGATAAGTACTCCTGAATAAAATATTTCTTACTCGGACCACGGGTCTGACGTCGGTTGTGTTTATGCCCTCTTTAATCGCCACTTCGCTGTAATCCAACACGGTCTCCATGTGATCCATCCTGTGGCAGTTACCGGCGCAGCCGCATTTCTCAATCACTTGATAGACTTCGTCCCCTTGAAAAGCACATCGCAAATCTCTATTCGAACGGCTGTCGAGCAGTTTCGAGCAATTTCGAGTTTGCGGAATTTAAAATTTTAATCTCACATTGTGCGAACGATGTTTCAGTGCTTACGTACCATTTGGTCCTTTGATGCTAATTGTGCTATTCCGAACTGGCTTGCAACCTAGATCTTAAAGAGGACGAACACACTGTTAATTTATAGGTCTCAGACGATGAAATCACCTGCGAACAATCCTCAAAGAATCTGCAACTACACTTGGTGGCAAAATACGCTGCCAACGCGCGTTTCGCGATGGAAATACAAATATCAAAGCCCAATTTACTAGTCTAGTCATAGACAACTTGCTGATAAAGTCGCGGCGCATTGCTCGTGTTTGCTATCTCTCGGATAAGAAAGAGACTCCGATGATTTCTTTACAAATCTCATACCTTTACCGCAATGTCCGATGCAAACCCCGACATCCATGACAGCCTGATGCGGCGTGCCGGAATGTACAAGATGAACGTAGGATTCTCTTTTGCAAGACGCCTCTGGCGAACATTCGCACGTCTCGATAGTCTCGATGACACGGACACCCTGCAACGTCGATACTCTCTCCAATTTCGCGGCCCTCGCTCGACAATGGGACTCCGTTGAACATTTCTGGAAAAGTCAATCGGAACAAGTATCTGTGAATGGTTACTGTAAAGAAAATAATGCCATATCGTGGAAGATCGAGCTGTCGGACACGCGGGAACGATTATTTCGTTCTTCTAGAAATTACATCTGACTTCGCGTCGCCGTGTCGCTGTGTCAATCAAGAGGAATTATTTGAAAAGTTTTCTTCTTTCAAGTTCTTCAAGCATTTGCTTCTTGAATCTGTTCTGCGACCAGTCTCGCAAGTGCATTTCCACGTCGTTCCCAAAAGACTCGAGCGCGGCGCGTTTCAATAAATACCTCCCCCCCTCGCCTCCACCGTGGCTTATCCATTCGCGCATAATTCCGGATTTAGTGGCTGGACACTCCGGCGCCGTGGTGCGCCGACCTCGACGATTCGACCTTCGAAGGACGCAAAACATACGCCGCATACTCGACTCTTTCGCGTGCAACGCCTCCTACGGTGCTACCTGGGGGTTGAGAGGAGGAGAAGGTTCGCCTCGTGCCGGCTGCTGTAAAACTCGTACACTACCGATCAGATTGCGTCACGTGACGAAAATAGCACTCTTTCGACCAAAGATTCGGGATGATATACGGGAAGAACGAGCGTTTGTCTCGGAGAAATCTTCCTTACGAGGCCCGAAATCACTTCTCAGCTGAGAAGAGAGAGAGAGAGAGAGAGAGAGAGAGAGAGAGAGAGAGAGAGAGAAAGCCGCATCGGTCGACTTTCTGCTGAAAACGAAGTTCGACGACAAAGTTGTTTGTAACGTCGGACTATTTATACCGTGAGCATACACGGCGAACACAAACAGCGTTTTGTAGCTTTGCGATACTTGAAACGACCCCAGACGCGCAACAGAGTTGCGCCATTAGTCGAATGTCATTTTTGCATCGGGGAGAAACAGATCGCAGAATGCTCGAGATACGTTCTTGAGGTGTCTACGTGCTCCGCACATATTATCTACCTACCTACCTACCTACCTACCTACCTACCTACCTACCTACCGTTTGTTTGCGTCCGATTATCTGAATGGCCCCTCCAAGCCCCTCCGAATTGTTAGTGATCATTAAAATGATCGAAACAAATTGTTATCACGACAGAGTAGGTGCTCGTTTGCTTACGTATGGGAATTCAGGATACGATTAATCCCTTAGTTTCGAATCTAGGCTCAAGCGATGTGATCATCGTCGAGTTGCTTCGCATTCCGCATTTCTATAACGCGAAAACTGCGTGTGTATCCATAAAAGTTACAAATTACCAGCGAAAAGATGGGGGATATTCAGTAAGCGCCATGTATTATTCGCGCATGTAAAAGTCGCGCAGATCGTGCGATCGTACGATGTCTGGCGTGGTCGCATTCCAACTCGCAATTGATTGATTCTGCGTCTCATAAGTCTGCACGACGTTCTAACCTTTTCCTTCGCGTAGCCCTCGGTTGCACACGCTTACCCCAGGTCCTCTGACGAGTTTTAACGATATCGCGTCGTTTCGACGAAACGTTTATGCGAGCAACCAGGCACCGTAAAAAATAGATGTTTCACTTCTAATCTTCCTCTTCTTCGAGCAACTTGTCCGCGTCCGTTTCGCTTGGCTGAGCCCTCCGTGCGATATCAGTATATACTTCGAACATCCCCATCTACTGAGAAACGATATTCGATGTTATGAAATTGTATCGTACTTTAATCGAGATATTTCATATACGAGACACAGGAGAGCACGATATTTATCGCGGATGGCTGTTTGACTTTGGATATTTATAATATATAAATTGCTCTCTATATATCCAAACATATCAAGTCGATCCATCAAATGAGCCAAGAAATTGCGGACGTTCACGCAATTCTTTAACTTATGCCTCGATGTTCGACGAGACGTACCCCTAGTTTGAGATTCGACAAAGCTCGCGCGGTCGAGCAGCAGCAACAACGGATACAGTGACACGCTTCCTATCATATACCGTTGCGCAAGGACGAAGACCGCGATGTTTTTCCACACCAGGTGGATTCTGCGAGCATGAGTCACAGATTACGCATCGTAATACAGATTCTGTATCGCATTCCTGCTGAACAATCCAAAGAACGCTCGCGTTCAGAGTTCTACGTTTGATTGTTATAACTACCGCTGTTATTATTGCTGCTGCTGCTGCTGCTGCTGCTGCTGCTACTAGAAGCTGATGTTAGGAGTCATCTTGTTACATGGACATACATATATTTATAGGCTACATCGTATTTGTTCACTTAAGATACGCGAGCTTCTTATTCGTGGGAAATCAAAATCGAATAGAGAATGTCTCGTCGATTATGATCATTCGATGGCTAGAGTATTTTTGTGTTTACAGGGTGATATAAATAATCCAGCAGTGAAAGATAATTTTTTTAATTCATGTCCTTTTTCATCCGATATTCTTGCTGATAAACATTATCGAGGTGATAATATACCGCGTATACAATTGAAACAAGGAAGAAATTCGATGCAAGAATTTACCTGCACCGCTGGCCGACTTGCGTCTCCGGGATCATCGGACACATGTCGCGGGCACAATTTCCGACAATGTCCGGCGTCGATTTGAATAACTTCTCCGGATATTCCTGAAAACCAAATTAGCCCTCTCACATACATTCTCTCATACATTCCATCCATTGTGATGTAAAGCATTGACAGACGACGAGAGATGTGTATCTCCAAAACCGCACAAGAGGGAGGAAGGAAACGAAAATTTATAAATAAGTGATATACGAAACGTAGAGAGGTAAAATTACTATTGCGTATAAATGATGCATTCGATATCGAGAAAGGGCATGCGCTGCCAACATTTTAAATACAAAATATCCTTCGAGAGCCCGGTCTCGAAACTCACTCGAGATTTGACTGGAACGAAAGGAGAAGGATAAATCCTGGAGAACGGAGGACATCATTTTACCGGAAAAAAAAAAAGAAAAAAAAAAAAACAAGCTGCCCCTAGATTTATGAATCATATAGAATATTAGAGAAGGCGCCAGCGAGTAAGAAGGGATGCTGCTGGAGGGTGAACAAATCCGAGTGTACAACTGCTATTTTCGGCGCGAAGGCGTGGGACTCGGAATGCGGGAGCACGTCGTTGTGATTCACGTTTCCTCGTGTCCTCGCGCATACGCGGCTTCGTCATCCTTCCTTTACTTTTCGCTAAGTAACGTGGACGCGCTGCGAACGGTAGGATCGACGCATGTCGTATCTCTCTATTCGATGGAAGGTATAGGAAGAAACCATTGTTATATGGCATATGTCGAATTTTAAAACTATATGAATATCTGTATAAATATAAGCAATATGATCGTTATAATTCTTTAAAAAATGATGCGTCCATCCGAAAGGATCTTGATATAAATTGATGTAAAAAATATATATATGGAAAAATGTATAAAATACGTTTTATATATGTATACGGGTATATACATATATACATGAGAGACACTATTAGATGGAGAATTTTTTTCAGCAAGAGACGCGCACGTCGCGCATTGTATACGATGCATTGCATACGTACGTTGCTGAATAGTATATCGCACGAACCTGTCTGTGATACGCGCTGATACACCGTAACCGGATGTTCCGTCCCCTCCGTCAGATCACATTAAAGTCCATTAATTAAGCACAGAGTATCAATTCGCGATACAACGTACGCGATACAGAAAGAAATAAAGTCCTAACGATTAATGGACGCACGACCGTTCTTAAAAATTTGTTTCGTGAACGTTACGGGAACCTCTTCGTTTCGGACTTTAGCCGGACCGTATCAAGAAACAGAATATTGTCTCGTACTTTTTATCAGAACTCAAGTGGGAGATTCTTTTATTTTATCTTAAGCAATTTCCCTTCGAATGAAATTTGCACAAAATTGATTTTAAAAGGTTTCCAGGTTTCTTCAAAGTAGACAATAGTTGAATTTTAATAGCGATGAAGATTTCAGGGCAAGAAATATATCTCTATATATTTCTCCTTTTTAGTACTTACAAAAGTTAAAGATAGCAACAAATATAATCAACGTTCTACGCACTCACCGTATCCAACATCGATCATCTTCTCGTGTCGGGCACAGCACGTGTGTTGTCGCGGTTCTTCCGAGTACACTTTTCCCTCGTTGCCCGATTCCTTGTCACAGAAAACTGAGCAACAAATAAAGTGGCAAGATGCAATGAGAAATGAGTTGTACCGTCTCGCGGAGAGCTCTTTGCGAAATGAGAATTGAAATCGAAATAATTTTAGTGAACTTTTTTCATTTCTTAGATACAAAAGGGAAGGAAATAAATATCGTGCAAATTTATAATACAATAACTTTATCTTTTATATTCTGAGACCAATGCATCTCTGTTATCCCAAATTACAACCTTCCTGCTACACACACCAAGAAGAGAAAACAATTCTGAACGCACAAGTGTGTATATCGCTCGCTTTGTTTACTCGCTTGTTATCGCATTCTTCGTTAAAATGATCAGAGATAATTGGTTAAAAAAAGATGTGAATAGTATATATCCCAAAGAAGCGGTATATACACAGAGAAACGACTGTTCTATTGTTTCTCTCATAAAGAACATAGCACTTATCATTGTCTATCTACACCGTTTGGACGGCCGTTAAGACGAAAGATGGAATAAAGGAAAAGAGAGCGAGAAAAGGAGGAGGACACTGCCAAGTTACCTAATCGTAAATTAGCCACGCAAATTACAACGAAGCCGATGAAGACGGCTCGCCATCCCCTTATACTTTGTATAAGACGCATTTGACACCGAAGCTGATACCGAACGAGCGGCGAAGCAAACAGATGTAAACGTATATCTCGCGTCTCTCGCGTAATTAGCGTGTGTAGTAGCGGAAACGCCAAGGGATTGCGTCGTGCGTCGCTACCAGAGAAAGGACGGTCTTCTGCTACGTGAATGACGTATAATAAATGACAAATGATCGAATGATGTCCGCGTCGAGTATCTACTGTATCTACGACGACCAACACCGATCTTCTTTTCTCTTTTGTCTCTCTATCTCTATCTCACGGTATCATCTCGCACCCGCGGCCACGTCCAGAGGATAATTATTCGCGCTCGGTACTAATTAATCGCACATGCGTTGAACTCGCAGGCACAGCTTGTAGTAGGTGCAAGGGCGAGGTCGCAAGGAAATCGATCGACGATTGGTTCCGGTACTCTGCCCACGCGGCTTGCGATCTGCGAGAAGACTGGCCGTCTGCCGTAGCCGCTCGATCTCGTCGAAGAGACGTCCGGCTGACAAGCGGATCTCTATTAATCTCGTTTGGTACGAGAACGTCGGAGTCCGGTTCGCCTCGTGACGAACGGATCGTCCATCACTCGCCGGTATGCCGAGCCGGCCGGTAGTATCGCTCAACTTTACATTCGATAAATCCTGTTCCGATTGGCTACTCCGCGAGACTTTTTAGCTCTCATCCCAGGCATACAGTACGAACAGACGAGATGGATGTCCACATGAACGAGCGAGCTTGTCAATATTTGTCAATGCGGCGGTAGACCCCATCGTTTCTCGGAAATGTTTTGTTTCCTAAACGAGCCGGTGTGTTTACCAAGTAGTTAGACGTCGTATGCATCGCGCTCGAATCAACCCTCATCCTCGACATTCCAACTCTGTAGGCCGGTTTTTGGTTTTTATATTGTACGAATGATGCAAGAGTAGAGAACTAGTACATATCGGATGAAAATGAAGAAAAGGAAAATAACGAGGAAAAATTGCACGGTTTGCGAAATATGCCATTTGCATCTTTGTTTATCCGCTATTGACAATTACATTAAGTATTTTAGAATAAAGTAATAACGTACGAAAATGTTCTGGTGTCGGTATGTCCGTAAGGATACGAAAAACTACCCCCTTCCCTCCTCATTGTATGCAATATATCATCGTTTGTTTGACGCGAAAAATCCTATTTCACATCAAACGCGTTCATCCGTAAGAGCACCTTCCGCGCACTGACATATTTGCGCGCATCATGGAATCCGGAGGCCAGAGAAGAAAAGAAGCTGATTATTCCTCCTGTATACTTCCCACATCCTTTTACCACACTATTATGGGAGGATATACGCAGCGGGGTGTTCATCCATCTGTATCATCGCTTCTGATTACACCGGGAGGTCTCTCTCTCTCTCTCTCTCTCTCTCTCTCTCTCTCTCTCCCCCCCTCTTTCCTTTTCCCTCTCCCTCTCCCTCTCCTGTTCCTGCCTACTTTCCGCGCTCGTTAACACACTCCATTGCTACTGCCAAGATCGTTGAGGCCCGCAAGAGGTCATTATCATTATTCATAAATTACCGCGCGCAAATCTCAATTTCGCCTGATGCTCCGCACAGCAACCTCCGCACTGCAGAAACATTATTTGACAAAACGCTTAGCAGCGTACTAAGGGGAACGCGAAACGGACAGTCCTAGGCTGCGAAAACGTCACTCGGGTGCATCTGCTGCGTTGGTGTGAGAGAGACATAAAAATGAGATAAAGAAAGAAAGAGAGTATCCGAGTGACGTTTCGAACGCAGCCCTACCGGATGACAGCGAGGAAAAGAAAAAGAGAAGGAGGAGGAAAGAGGGAAAACGCATTTACTGTAATCATGGATTAAGTCTTCCGAAATAAGAATTGAACGCGTGTATAAATAGGCAACAACAAAAAAACAAACTATAAAATAAAAAGATTATTGCATCTTTATATATTGTTGAGCGTCGATTTTAAATATTTTAATCTTTTCAACGATGCCAAACAACGTATAAAGATTCAATAAGTTGGGTTAGGTTGCAACTGCGTGCTGTTGCATATACACGCAGTTGCAAGGTTAGGTTAAGTTTGGGGTGGGAATAATGGAGGAGGGGCGGAGGCTCCTCTCCCTCTTAAGCCCGTATCAGATTATGGATTGGGATTGAGATTAGATTGAAATTTGACCAATTGAAAAAGAGAAAATAATCTCAAATATAGTAAACTTACTCCTGATTGGTTAAATTTCAATCCAATACTCAATCCCAATCCGTAGTCTGATACGGGCTTAACATGTACTATCTTACACTTTCCGACTAAAAAGTACAGACCATAAGTCTCTGTATTACCGGCATAACAGATTTCCTAACCTCGCGTGTCATTTTTTTTTTTATTATTTCATAACTTTCGGTCCGTTTGAGAGCGATACTTTTTTGTTTAAAAATCGTGTTCTACGCACCAAAATACACGATTGTGCAAAGTTTCAGCGAAATTGGTGAGAAGGCCCGTATTCTTCACAATTATTCAAAAAGTGTATGTAATGGCTTTAAAGGTCATTCTACAATACGTGTCGTAAGCCGTACGAACGAGTTGTAAGCCGTAAGAACTGACCAATTATGGCCGATTATTTTTACAATAATAGATGATTCGCCAATTCTTACGGCTTACAACTTACGACACGTATTGTAGAATGACCTTAATCAATCTTCTTGCTGCTTACGTCTTACTGCTCGAATTTTTCTCTATTTCCGGGTAGTCTTTTGTTCGCCTCCGTGGCGGTTGGATGTGGTTCCTGTAACTACGCATATTTTTTGATCGTTGGGACTGCGTACGCGTTGTCCCTGTTTTCTTTTACCTCTGCTGGAAAATAGCCTTACAGAATTTAATCTATCTACACCGTGAGAGTGGCGTTGGAGCAGTATCCTATTTTGCTCAGAGCCATTTATTGAATTGAATTGAATGGAATTGAATTCTATTTCCGGGCCCTTAAAGCCGGCGGGCGGCACACGGTGCTTGTTTTGTGATGGATTTAGTGAAAAGATGTAGTAACGTGTTAGAATTTCTTAATATATTACCAAATCTCACTAGACTCTGAACGGAAATAAGAGCACCGCAGTGTGTCGCCGGCTGTTAAGAAGAATTGTGCTAAATAGCAAAACAAAGCAAAATAGCGTGACGAGCTGCAGGCATTTAAAATCATAAAAAAGAATTAGTTGAAAATTACATTACGAGGTAAAATTTAAGTTCAACTTTCTTCGATAATGTGGAATACCACTGCATATTTATAGGTTTTATAACAATAACAAAAGAGAGAAAAATATAACAAGCAATTGTTGAATAAAGAACAAAACTTTTAGAATTATAAACACAAACAATTGTAGGACGAAGAAAAGAATTTATATTGTACATACTTGTATATAAAATATAGATATATTTTTGCAGGATGTCTGCTAAATCAAGAAAAAGTTTATCAACATGGTCCCAATGTGACAAATGTCAAATTGTCCTGACACAGAAAGATTTATCATTACACGGAAAGGATTGTCCACCTTGCGTGGGAAACATTGAGAGAGAATATTCTTATATTCTTGATGGAATTTTGTACAGCACTGTAGAGCTTTATCAGTCCCAAGGTGTTTATGAGATTTGATTTGTATAATTCTTGTTTGCATATTACTTTAATCGATCGTATATTTCACAGAATTACCAAAACATGTCTCTGAGAAGGCATCTAATTTTATGGTGTTTATATCGTCGTCTGCTATGCAATTGTGCAATATTGCAATTGGTGATGCAGTTGTAGTTGAGACTAACAGTGTCAAAGTTGTTAAGACAGCATTCCCGACGAATGACACAAGTTTAATAAGTGCCTCTTTAACGAAGCAAGGTAAATATATCTAGCATGTGTTAACTTGGTTCTCTATATTTTTCTTCAGTACATTTTTACACCATGTTATTCTTCTGTATCCATTTACATTTCTGTTTCTCTTTTATACTTTTGTATAATTTTACATACATGACTAATTTAGTTACCTATCTATTTATCAACTTGTACTATTGATTTTTACTGTTTCTAGCCATTGAGCTGGATAATCTAAATGGACCGATGAAAATATATTTATTGGAAGATAATATCCATATCGCTAAGGAGATTGTACTTAAACAATTGAGCAAATGTTTGATATGCGAGAGCGCAGCTGCAGAAGTTGATATTATCTTAAAGTGTTTCAATGAACACAAAATTTTTACTCCTGATAGTAAAATAATAATACCATTTTATGGAAAGAAGTTGATGTACGAAATTGTTCGCATTAAAACTGAGGGTGAAAAGGGGACACGAATCAGAGCAACGACTGAAGATGATTTGCCGATAGCTTTAGAGAGAATGAATCTGGAAAGTAAGCCCCTAGAAGTGGATTATTTTAAAGCGCTATATTCTACCAAATGGACAATACTTCCTAGAGAGAAGGATAGAGATGAGGAAAGTATTTTGAAGAAAACATATGAGATTAAAGATATAGGAGGATACGATGCTCTCATAGCTGATATAAGAGATGTAGTTCAGATAGGTATCGGTAAGTATAAAAGTGTTAAAAATTTCGGTGCTAATAAAGGAGTATTGTTACACGGCCCTGTTGGTGTCGGCAAGTCTCTGATAGCTAATGCTATAATCTCAGAATGCAATGCGAAAGCGTTCTTCGCTCACAGTTCGGATATTTACTGTAAATCTATCGGCGAGACGGAAAATAGACTCAAAGATATTTTCAACAAAGCGATGTCAGTCACTCCCAGCATAATACTGTTGGAAGACTTGGACAGCTTATGTCCTATGAAAAACAGCAGCACTACAGATCACGGGACAAGAATTCTTGCGCAGTTAACGACACTGTTCGACAATCTACATAGCACAAAGAGCGACGTAATAGTGATGGCTACAACCTCGAAACTATATTCCATAGACTGTTCTCTTAGAAGGCCCGGCAGAATAGATGTAGAATTTGAAGTTTACGTACCAACTCCGAACATGCGTTTGGAAATTTTGACGAAATTAACTTCGAAAATTCCCAATACGCTGTCGGACCAGAATTTGGAGGGTCTTTCGTTAAATACTCATGGCTTTGTTGGTGCGGATTTACACGGTTTATGCTCCAAAGCGATATTCAGTGCGGTGAAACGCCAAGAGAGAAATGCTCTTTTGAAACATGCTGAGAAAGGAGAACATGTATCCTTTGATACAGAACCAATAGTGACGATACAAGATTTTAATTGCGCTTTGACTACAACAAAGCCTTCAGCTATGAAGGAAATCCTGGTGGAAGTACCGAATGTAAGATGGTCGGATATTGGTGGGCAGAAGGACTTGAAACTAAAACTAAAACAAGCTGTCGAATGGCCGCTAAAGTTTCCCGGCGCTTTCAGGAAAATGGGCATTGCACCTCCGAAAGGTATCTTGATGTACGGACCACCAGGATGCTCGAAAACCATGATCGCGAAAGCTCTCGCCACCGAAAGCAAAGTGAACTTTCTGAATATTAAGGTAATACATCTAAGAGATATATATTTATTGCATTTGCGTCAAGTATGTCACGGAATTACTCGCAGGGTCCGGAATTGTTCTCAAAATGGGTCGGCGAATCCGAAAAGGCTGTAAGGGAAGTTTTTCGAAGAGCAAGGCAGGTAGCACCGTCTATCGTGTTTATCGATGAGATAGACGCATTAGGAGGCGAGAGAAGCTCATCTTCCGATGGTAATGGCAGCAATGTTCAAGAACGAGTACTGGCTCAATTACTGATCGAACTCGACGGCATTACTGCCCTAGGAAGCGTTACATTGGTAGCGGCTACTAACCGACCAGATAAAATTGACAAGGTAACTTTATCAATCTTAACTGAACCAAAACCAATTTGGTAGTGCAGAAAATATTTTATCATTTTAATGCTATTAGGCACTTCTGCGACCTGGACGATTAGATCGTATAATATACGTTGGATTGCCAGACGAAGAAACCAGACAAGAAATATTTGACATAAAATTGCAAAAGATGCCAATCGCGAAAGAGATAAACGTTGCAGATTTGGTTTGCCTGACGGAAGGTTACACCGGCGCGGAGATTCACGCGATATGCCACGAAGCTGCCATGAAAGCATTAGAGGAAAATATTAACGCTGAAACAATTACGAAGCAACATTTCAAGGCTGCATTGGCACTTGTCACTCCTAGAACACCTGTCTCACTGATCAAACTTTATGAAGATTATAGAAATAATATTTTGTGATAATCATGGAAGAGAGCATAGGTCTATTCCGAAATCGGATTTCACAATTTTGATTTTAGTTGTAAGACTGATAGTCCTTAACTAACTAATTTAGATATGTTCCATATCTATATAGTTGATCAATTGATCAATTATTAAGATAAGTAATAAAATATCTACTTCTCTATCTAAAGCCAGCGGCACACGGTGCTTGTTTTCGTGCTGGATTGATTGCTTGCTGGTGAAGATACTGCGTTCTGAAGATACTTGGTACATTTCCGAAGATGGATGGAAATGCACCAATCAGAACGCAGTATTTTCATCCAGTGCGAAAACAAGCACCGTGTGCCGCTGGCTTTATAAATGCTTTAATATAATCTAATGTACAAATGTATTCTTAAGCATCGTCTATAATGGCAGCAGGAATAATAGATTAAAGCTGTAAAACGTCGCAGTAAACTGTTTTTCCATAAATATATGGCGCAAAATTAAGCTTAGACTCCATGTATGCGGTAGAGCTCCGGCAAATGCTGCGGTGACCAATCAGGAGACAAGCGCATGTCCGGAGCTTGCCGCAATCGGACCTGCGCCTCTCTCCTGATTGATCACCGCAGCATTTGCCGGAGCTCTACCGCATACATGGAGTCTAAGGCCTGATCTACAATACGTGTCGTAAGTTGTAAGCCGTAAGAATTGGCGAATCACAGTCGATTATTACAAAAATAATCGGCTATAATTGGTCAGTTCTTACGTCTTACAGCTTACAACACCTATTGTAGACCAGGCCTAAAGCGTCGTCTACAATAGCAGTAAGCGTGAACAGTAAGAAATGGACCAACCACAGTTGATTATTTTTGTCATAATCGACTGTGATTGGTTTATTTCTTACCGCTTACGCTTACTGCTTACTGCCATTGTAGACGACGCTTAAAGATCATTCTACAGTACGTGTCGTAAGTTGTAAGCCGTAAGAATTGGCGAATCACAATCAATTATTATAAAAATAATCGGCCATAATTGGTCAGTTCCTACGGCTTACAACTTACGACACGTATTGTAGAATGACCTTAAGACCGTACCCGAAATGATTGAATTCCATTTCCTACGGTCTACTCCCTTACTCTCAGCCAGTGAGAATCTAAAGACTACTCTTTTCATCTATTACTTGCTGTCACTGTAATCCCACGCTTCACTATCTACAACGTGGTCTGCAATAAAAATTGTAATGTTTCAAATTATAAGACCTCAAGAAAATTGACCAATTGCAGTTGATTATTCTCCTTGCGGACGAAAAATTTATCCTCCATCGGGGAAAGCTGTTCTCTCATTGGTTATCGGACATCGTATGTCGGATATCTCACTTTTAGGCCTGGTCTACAATACGTGTCGTAAGTTATAAGTCATAAGAATTGGCGAATCACAGTCGATTATTACAAAAATAATCAGCTGTAATTGGTCAATTCTTATGGCTTACAGCTTACAATACATATTGTAGACCAGGCCTTAACCAACTTCCGTCGCACAGTAAACGTTACCGCGTCCTGTGTGCAATCGGCTCTATGTTTCATGTAGCTGTTACAACACATCGTTACACGGCACGCATCAGATATCATAGGATATTTACTTTTTTTATTATTTGATATTGTTTAAATAATCACAAACCGTAGTCATGGCGGATGTTTTGGACATTGATAACGCCGAAGAGTTCGAAGTTGATGATGAAGGCGATCGTAAGTCTCAATTTCATCGAATTCGGTCAATTTTGAAACTGTATAACCTCATCTTTCTCTCTCTCTCTCTCTCTCTCTCTCTCTCTCTCCCTCTCTCTCTCTCTCTCTCTCTCTCTCTCTCTCTCTCTCTCTCTCGGTTAGACATAAATTTTAACTTGACACATTCGATTTGTTAGCATTTTATTTAATAAACACAACTAAACAAACACAAGTTTAATTAATTTTCCTCTTTTAGAGGGTATTGCTCGCCTTAAAGAAAAAGCAAAGAGAAGGAAAGGTAGAGGCCACGGTGCAGAACTGATATCAACGAGAGATGATGTGGGTCATTATGAATCCATGAATATAGTTGAAGAAGATGATAATGAGCCAGGGCCTCAGAGATGTAAGATTGTGTTGTTTCTAATCACGTCAGTTGATTTTCATGTACAACATAATAATTCTTTCTATTTAATTTTTTTATATAATCAACCTGTTTTAATTTATTCTTCATATTTATAGCTGTAGAAGGATGGATTTTGTTTATAAATTCTGTACATGAAGAAGCGCAAGAAGATGATATTCAGGACAAATTTTCAGAGTTTGGTCAGATAAAAAATTTGCACTTGAATTTGGACAGAAGAACAGGATTCTTAAAAGGCTATGCGTTAGTAGAGTACGAAACATTTAAGGAAGCGCAAGCTGCAAAAGAAGCTTTGAATGGTACAGAGATCTTAGGACAGGCTATCTCTGTTGATTGGTGCTTTGTAAAAGGACCAAAGAAGTAAGCAATGCTGCAGCACGCTGTAGCTGTTTTGGTTATCTTAAATCCCTGTATTTTATTCATTTTTTTTTTATTTATTATTTTATTAATATTATATACACACACACACACACACACAAGTATATGTTTATACCCATTATGATGTTTATATTAATATCTGATGTATCTATTTCTCCATACAGGATCAGAAAAAGGAGTCACAGAAGACGATGAGAATCAAATAAAGTACATTCGTAAAATATTCATAATATATATTCATAATTAATTCATATTGTAATTACTGTGTGAATCTGTGTGAATATAATTTGATTCTTTTCATGTCACATTATTACTTATTATCCATCCAGTATATTTCTTTTTGTATAACTTGTTTTTTATTCTGCAAACTCGTTTAGAACGAATCATCCTGTTTATCCTATAAAGATTATGTGGATCTTCTGTCATCCATCTTCCATACTTTCTTTCCCTGTAATGTGTAATGTTTGAGATACACGTGTAAATTTCTTTACAGAAGTTATAAAAAGCACTGATGCGCATATTTGTAGAAACGCAAAATGTAAATCTTATGACGAAGTAATGACGTTACTCTTCAATTTCTTATCCCACATGACTTTACATGTAAAAGAGAAAAAAGCTATACAGATGTATATTATAGTATCGAGCGATAATATTTATTGGAAAACTGAGAAGAATACACGAATAATATGTCTCTATCATACAAAGGTACCTTATTAAATAAATGACATAACGAAGCACACTAAGCATAATAATTTAAGTTTGCTTTTTTCTTTGCTTGAACTTCATTGATAGCTTCCATTAGATCTTCGTGAGTAACTGCCGTTGCGTTGCGCCTTAACGCTATCATACCCTGTGAATACCATATTGTTGACATTATTACAACAAATAATGTATAAGTTGATTAAATTTTATTGATCGAACGCCAATTCCGCTATCTTCGATTAATTTGATCGACCGATGGAGTGTCAACCGTGATTGATCGATTCCGATGGAATTATCGGCAAATTAAATTAATCAAAAACGGTGAAATCGGATCGGCCTCGAATATACAGGTCGGTGGTACCATGTACGACTTCGACCGTATGATCAATAATTGATATAAAATTGGTAAAAAATATATTTTGGAGTTAAGATACTTTTTTATCTCGTTAAGTGACATTGTCTCATTCAAGGCCATTATCGACTCTGATTGGTTTTATATATGCGTGATCATACCGCTTCTACACAAACAGCTTTGCATTGTGCTCCGTTAAAATCGTCCGTGGATCTTGACAATTCTTCGAAGTTTACGTCGGGCGACATGTTCATTTTGCGCGAATGAATCTGCATGATACGTGCCCTGGCCTCCTCGTTGGGATGCGGAAACTCAATTTTCCGGTCCAATCGTCCGGATCTTAGCAGAGCCGGATCCAAGATATCCACTCTATTTGTGGCGGCGATAACTTTGATGTCGGCGGTTGAGCTGAAACCATCCAACTGATTCAACAGCTCCAACATAGTACGTTGCACCTCTCTGTCGCCAGCCTTCTCCGAATCGAATCGTTTTGTCCCGATGGCGTCGAGTTCGTCGATAAATATTATAGCTGGTGCCTTCTCCTTAGCTAGCGAGAATGCATCTCTGACCAGTTTTGCTCCATCACCGATGAACATCTGCACTAATTGTGGGCCGGCAAGTTTCAGGAAAGTGGATTTCGTTTGGGCAGCGCAGGCTCTAGCCAACAGAGTCTTTCCGGTTCCAGGCGGACCGTAAAGTAAGACACCCTTAGGCGGCTGGATTCCCAGATTTTCGAATTTCTCTTTATGCGTCATGGGCAGGACGACTGCTTCGATCAGCTCTTGAATCTGCTTGTCCAGCCCACCGATGTCGGAGTATTGCTCTGTTGGACGTTCGTCTACTTCCATAGCTTTGACCCTGGCGTCGTATTCGGCTGGTAGGGTCTCCAGCACGAGATAACTGTCTTTATTAACGCCAACCAGATCACCTGGCTTCAATGCCTCGGCATCGACCAACCCGATCACAGGAAGAAAGTAAGTCTGACGCGTAGAAGTCTTTATGACTGCGCACTTGCCTTTACGCTGTGCGTCCAAGTCGACAACTGCACCGTCTTCCTCTCCCATATCTTGTGGATCGACATCTAGCAGCTCGATGACATTGGATACCAGATACGGTAGGGTCTTGTTTACTTTAATTTTCTCCGTATTCTCCTTGATCTTGTCATTCTGTGCCTGTAACTCGTGTGTTATTCGCATCACCTCGCTCTTCATGATTTTAATTTCATTATCCAAAAGCCGTGTGCGCGATACGATCTCGTCGGTAGACATTCGTAGAACATCTTCTCCTAGAGTCTCCTGCGAAAGAAATGGTATGATCCTTTTATCGCAAAATCCTATTTTGTAACAAATATAATAATCAATAATCAATTGTTTGTTCAAAAGTATAGACACATGACTATGTGTAAGGATTTTTATACCTAACTGTATATGTGAAGAAAATGATCCTTTATAAATCAATAAAAATATTTATCTACAAAGTATATTTAATTGCTCGGTTTATTATGCTCAACCTTTAATTAAATCTTAAAATATTTTATATTCGTGTTTAGAATAGAAACTACTAAGTACATGTGCATATGTGTGTATGTGTGATCCATAGATACATAGAAATTAAAATAAAAGTTAAAAAGTAAAATATTTTCAATTTTAATCCTGTTTATTTACAATCTTGAGGTTACATACAATATTAATGAAATAAAATATGCTGTAAGGAAACTTTAATTGATATATTTCTTTGTTTCCATCTTGAGACTTGAATATAGCACAAAAAATGTTGATCATTCATTGTCAGTGAAGCGAATTCTTATATTTGATTGTGCTGAAAGAATATTGATTCAACAATTGAAATAAAAAAATTACATATAACTTGTAAATATTCTGTAATTTCAGAATATAAAACATATATATATATATGTATGTATGTATGTATGTAGATGTAGTCTAATATTCCTCGAATATAACAAAAATGATAGTACAGGTAGATGAGTAAAACATATCATTATATTTCTTATAATTTGTGCAAAAATGACGTTTAGTTTTCAGAAGAACAGGCAGACAATTAACATTCTGTGAAAAAAAAAATAGAGGACAAAGCAAGAAAAATAAATCACTCAAACAGAGAAAACCAAGAGTCAAGATTTAATTAACAGAGACTTGCGTTAAACGATTACAAGACATATATTACAGTACCGTGCGTTTTCAGCTGGATGTGCTTGTCATTCGGTACCATAACCTATAAACCTAGAAACGTAAAAAATCTTACCTCTCCGTCCTCCCAGATTGACTTATCTTCCAACGTAGCCATTTGAAAACTTTGAGAACTTTTCTGTGAAAAGCACTGGAATATTCTCTTCGGGAAGTCGACTGTTGTATTCTTACTTGACGACAAATTCTTTAAAGGCACGAAAACAAATCGTGCCTATAATACAGCTTCTCAAGATGTACTATCCGCCAAAGTGACACCAACACGATGCGTGTAGCTCTCAGAATTGTACCGATATATCATTGGCCGCGTTCAGCAGAACAAAGGGATCAGTGAGCGCTTAGTGATTATTGTCTGTGACTGAAGCATTCTTTTAGATTCTTCATAGACCCAGAAGTATTTACCAATCAGGAGCGAGAATCACTGAGCGCTCACTGATCATTTTGTTCTTCTGAACGCAGCCATTGGTTACTTTTAAACGCAGTCAGGTACATAGGACGCGACGCATTTGCTACGGTCCGTGCGCAACCAGCCGTGATATAGCCCGTGTCACACTACGAATTGAAGATCAAGGATTGCGGATTGAAGATTGAAATTTGACCAATCGGAATAAAGCAAATCAAGACCGAAGTTCGTTGTCGAAATTTGTCGAAATCTCATCTTCAATCCGCAATCCTTGATCTTCGATCCGTAGTGTGACACGGGCTTAAGGTTCAGTGGCTGGTCGATATGCAATCACTTTTCAAATATCACGAGCAACAGCGCATTAAAGGACTCATTATTTTTCAAGTATCATGACTCTGTAGCAAAGCGGAGGATCTTTTTTGTGTTCTGCTAGTGCGACATTTATTTCTAAATAATATACTGAAGTAGCAAATAAATGCTCTTTTACTTTCAAGTAGTACGACTCAATGATGAGCTAGGTATTGTTCTCTTTGTTTTTCGATAGTATGACTGAATAGCGGTTTGAGGATGTATTTTAGGCATATAACTGCAATAGTAGTTTATCCCGTTCGCTATTTTGTGTCGTAAATATAATATCAGATATCAAAAGTTTCAATAGGATTTGTGTGGCTTTTTGTATGAACGAGTTCACGTTCTAGTGAATTCGTAGAAGAGCTAATTATTGGGTGCGTTCACGAAGCTCAACAGTTGCACAACAGTTGAGCATCCGATGAGTGAGCGACGAGTGAGCGGTAGAAATGTACACTGAACGCAACTGCAGATCAGAGTTCTGCTCGATTTTGTTGCGCGGAAAAATGTCAGATAAACGTACTAAATATTACGGTAATTATTAAGTATTTTTATAAATATAATTCATATGTGTCTGTCACAATGTATTCTACACCATCCTTGACATTCCCCGCTATATATATTTGGATTTATATGACCATTTTCTTTGTTATTTTCTTTATTCATGGGCTGCGCCATGTTGGATCGGAGACTGATCAGTAAGGCCCTTTGCACAATCACAATCGACTATTACAAGAATAATCTATTGTGATTGGTCTATTTTTATTCTTATTGCCTGTTGCCTGGCATTGTGCAAGGGGCTTAAAGGTAGCGACGAATTCAGAAAATAAAGCGCTCAGTGAGCGCTTTGTTTTCTGAACGCAACCAATGGCTGCATTCAGCAGACTCAACAGTTGGACAACATTACTAGATTTTCCACTGAATCTCGCTCCTGATTGGTAAATACTTCTGGATCTATGAAGAATCTAAAAGTATGCTCCAATCACAGACAATAATCACTAAGCGCTCTCTGATCACTTTGTTCTACTGAACGCGGCCAATGACTGCCAATAGTTACTAAGCGCTCAGTGAGCGCTTTGTTTTCTGAACGCAACCAATGATGAGAAAAATGGCGAACGCTCACTCAACATGTTGCGAATGAGCGCATCGCTCAGTAACGTTCAGGACGAAATCATTCAACAGTAGCACAACCGTTGAATGTCGTGAACGCACCCGATGAAAATATAAACTCGATTGCATTAGTTGTCATGGTTACCATTTGGCAAACACTATAGCAGCATTACAAACTGATCAAGTTTATTACTTGTAAGTCTAATTTAAGATGGTTTACAGCATGGGAACTTTTTTTTTTACTCATTTATATTTATTTCCGTATTCCTATAATGCTTTTAGGTGAAAAAGAAAATGGATTGGGCTAACGAGCTCGAGATTACTTCCAAAAAGGTAACTTTGAAAATATTTCGGAGAATAGTGTCTTGTGTGTACTCTCTCCCCCCTTCCCCCTCTCTCTCCTTTCTCTCTCTCTCTCTCTCTCTCTCTCTCTCTCTCTCTCTCTCTCTCTCTATCTCTATCTCTCTCTCTCTCTCTCTTTCTCTCTCTCTCTCTCTCTCTCTCTCTCTCTCTCTCTCTCTCTCTCTCTCTCTCTCTATTTCAGCCACCTTTGAATATTTCAAATATTTTGTTTAACTACATGTACATATGATTTTAATGTAGAAGTTTGATATACGTGATATGTTATAATTTCATATACCATTATATATTACGCTATTGTACATGCAACTAAAATATATATATATATATATTTTGTGGTTGCATGTAAAATAATATAATATATATATATATATATGTATATATATACTACAAATAATAATATATTGGTTAAATTTAATGTCTTTCAATAGTATTAATGAAATAATTATTTATAATATTAATAATTTATCATAATCAATCAATTTTCAGCTAATACCACGTCTAGGTAGACGTGCAGGTCAAAACAATTTGCTGGAAGAAAAGTCTGATGATGATCCTTTAGAGAGTCCAATTTCCTTGTCTTCTGGAAAATCTATTCCTACACAAAGGCCAATAGTACCGCCTCGTTCAAGGAAAACTGGCTGGAGTGATGAATTAAAAAGTGGCAAGTATGTGAAATTATTTGGTCCAGAAGATATTTTGATAGCAGCTACAAATAGAAAAAAGCAGTTATACTATCTTTATAAGATGTCTCTTTTTTGAAGGATGAAATAATTTCGATGCAAGTAATTTATAATGTAACATGAAATGAATAAAATGACTTTATTATCTTGAAATATAATTAGAGTGAGCAATTGGTGACTAATTTCTATTTCGTTATCTAGGTCAAAGACAGTATCAAATATCATTGAACAGTGAGTATAATGTGTAAAATTAGAGAATCAGACATCTCTATAATCACTGATAGACTATTTCTTAGGGAACGTTTCCGAACGATGGACAAAGAAGAACTCGAAGATGGTAAGCTGATTTGGGATCAATTATATTAACAGCGGTTTGCATTAACTAGATGTGGTTATAGAGTATTTGTGTATATGTGTATGTGTATGAATGTATATACATTCACACACACACACACACACACACATACATATATATGCATAATTTGTTCTTTGACATTCTCATCTTCTATATCTCTGTGCAGATATTCCTGTCATACCAGATTTGGATGAAATTCAGGAAGATAATATTTCACCTGAAATTGCGAGTGCTCCTGCGTAAGTATCATTCATTCTGAAATTTATGTTAACACTTTGCCGGCCGCTTACTTCTCGCATCGCCTTTACGCTGCCGCCGGCGAATTTCGCGCGGGTTCTACTGCTCGCCGACGGTGATATTAAAGAATGTCAAGAAAAGACAATCGGGATAGTTAAAACAGAAGCATAGTGGAAACATTGTTGCCGCACTGAACCGAAGTCACGCGTACATGACAGCGACCGATAACCGTCGGCGAGCAAAAGTCACGCGTACGTGACAGCGGCCGGCAAAGTGTTAAGAAAGAAGAATAAATTTTTAAAGAAGGAAAAGGAGAGAGCTTTTTATAAGGAGACGTCCTTTGCAAGAATGTCCTTTGAGTAGACATCTAATTTTCAGGGTGAACGCAAATCGTGTAACTGCATATGAAGAATTGGATACAGATCTGGTGAAAAACGCGGCATTTACATCATTGGATGATGTTAGCCTTTCGCTACTTGCAGATAAACTGTACAATGAAAACTTAGCGAAGGAACCCGATGAAGTGTGGAATTGGAATCTCCTCTTTACGCAAATTTCTTCTGAAATTAATAGCGAGACGCAGGAAAAGATCACGACTTGAAGCTATTGAAGCATTTTGTAAGATAAAAGGGCCTAAATACGTTGTTAATGCGAAGTATACTTTCGCATTTTATATTCTTAATGTAAAAAGAAACATGTTGCCTGACAAAATGTATTTCGACTGCATTCTGATAGATAATGTCGCTTAATTTTTTAAATTTCGTATTGAATTCCAAACGATAATGAATAATAACGTCGCAATTTTATTAGAACTTTTCTTTGACATTTTAATTTATTATTACTCTCATATGTACTTAACACATATACAGGGTGCACGATTTATCTGAAGACTTATATTTTCTGCAATTCTCCAGAAATGATCATTGGATTGAGAAATAAAAAATACCTGTTCAATATTTTTAAAGAACATAATAAAAGTTATTCCCCCCCATCCTCTCGGGGTAGGATGGGTGGTAACGTTCAAATCTCAAATGGGGATCCACATTTTTCATTGCAGAATTAGATTGTACGTGAAATTTTTATTGAAACAATTTTTTTCATTGACACAATTTTTTATAAAAAGCCGTAGTTCGCCATATACCCACAGTGGCGCGTCGAGCAGTTCTCTCTTCGATTCGGGTTCCCATTTGAGATTTGAACGTTACCACCCACCCTACCCCGAGAGGAGGGGGGGGGGAATAACTTTTATTATGTTCTTTAAAAATATTGAACAGGTATTTTTTATTTCTCAATCCAATGATCATTTCTGGAGAATTGCAGAAAATATAATTTTTTGCGATTACAGCGCCATCTATCACGAATCAAAAAAAAAGTTTCGGACAAAATTTACGTATTTTGTGGCGTAGAATCCGTATCTGCAATAAAAAATGGGGATTTCCATTTAAGATTTCAAAGTTGCCCCCAACCCCCACCCCCAGGGGGTGGGGTGGGAGGTCGAGTTTGGTATCATTGGATGTCCCCCTTCGAGACTAACAACTTTCATTAACCACTTTTTTTTATCCAATGCATAGTTCTCGAGATATTTCAATGTCTTCAGATAAATCGTGCACCCTGTATACAAGTGGTATAATATCCAATAGATGAGACATAAGAAGAAATCGAAGTCTAATAGTATCTAAAGATATTATGGTAAATTATAAAAGCTTAAATTTGTTATTGAAACAATATATGTATATTCTCATAAAATTAAAATAAATGAAATTTAATATCAGAAGCAAAAATCAAGTTTTGAATATACACGTGCGCATTTTCTTACTCTATAGCATAGCTCGGCAAAATCTGCACACTGCCGATTTTCAGCTCGCTCCGCCTAATACTATTTCTCTGACATCTCGCGCGTGGCTCAATAATATATCAATAATATGTGAACTTGTTTTCAATAGCTTCCACATCATCATCCAAGAAGTATTTGCTACTGTTGGTTTCTTTTTCTTTTTTTTTTTTTTATTTACTAGTATCCTCAGTAGGCCTGATTTATTGATAAATGAAATAACTTTTTATGTCAGAAAATAGCAGGAAGTTTTTGCAATATCGTCTCTCAGGTACGGTAAACGTAAATCATGAATGTTATTCGCTCAAAAATAACGTCGCAATGTACACGGCCAATAGCATTCACGATTTACGTTTACCGTATCGGAATGACGGTGTTACAAAACCTCCCCAGTACTTCATAGGTAACGTGGAAATCTATCGGAAACAGGTTTACGCGCTGTACGTTGTACCGAGCCTCGCGCAAGAGGAAGACATAAGAGAAATAGCGCTAGGCGGAGCGGCGAGCTGAAAATCGTCGAGGTGTACAGATTTTGTTAAGCTCTGCTCTATAACCGAAAAAAAAAGTAAATCAGAATTGACAAAAAAATGGCAAACTGCTTTCTGCAAGACAGTGCCTGTATATGGAAGCGACTAATTATGACTCGTCTGACCTACTCTCGATTTGCCCCCCAATTTGGAAATCGCGGCGGTTCGAGGAGCGACTTGAGAAGGACTCGACCGTGCAGGCGTGCAAATCCGAGGGTCCCCCCGTAAAGGTTACGAGGGGAGGGCCATGAAGATGCACGCGCAAATCGGGAGTCGAATTACAAGAAGCTACTTGAAGCGACTTCATCATGTGACAACACCCACTGAGCAGATCTGCCATATCTTCTACGTTAGCGATCAATGTTCAGTTGTGCCATCACTAGCACACACTTCCAGCGTACCTCTTTTCGAAAGTAATATATATAATGTTTATCTTGTATATAGTACATGTGAGTATAACGCTATAGAGAATAGTAGTGATTCTTTATCTCGACAAAATGTCATATCTTTACATACATATTATTAGATAATGTTACATTTTATACTGTTGTCGTTGATGCGTATTTCATGATTGCTAATTTGAAATATTAGATTTAAAAGAGTCGGTCGTCAAGTTGTTTTGCCATCTTGCGGCGCTATAACGAAAGCACCACAATCTTGTCAATAAAGGCATAGACTATACAACGTTAAAGATACGTAGAAGTCGACGATAAATTTTCCTAATTGCGAATAATTTTTTAAAAATGTTTATCACTTTTGTTTAAATTTTAATTTCGATGAATATACATTCCGAGTTGAGAGACAATATCATGCTTTTCTTTTCTTTCTATTTTTCTTTCTATTGAAATTATCATGTTACCCATCGAAGTTTTAGAATTAAAGATTGAGAGAAAGAAAGAGAGAGATGCACGATTTTTAATTAAGTTGGAATTATAATTAGAGGCTGAAGTTTTTCATTAAAATTGTACATTTGAAATAGGAAATCGATCAGTCAGCACAAAGATATTGAATAGGGAATTCTAGAGAAGTCGAGTGTCGGTCGGAAGTCTATCGGAAAGTTTTGCAAGTTCTACAATACACAACCTTTCTCTCTCTCTCTCTCTCTCTCTCTTCTCTCTCTCTCTCTCTCTCTCTCTCTCTCTATCTATCTATCTCTCTATCTCTTTCTCACGGCGTGTTATTTATTCCTTGAATCATCCTTTCCCTCTCGACTGTCGTGCGTCTTGACACATTTTCACTCTGGATAGTCTCTGATACAAACCGCGAATGTGATAGACAATCATGTCGCTGGACCAAACTGTATGTGAAGGTAAAAGTATATGTGAAAAATTATAGATATTGTTTTGCAGATGAAATCATTAGCAAATTTGTATGAGAACGGTTAATCACTCTAATAACTGTCAATAATTGTTTGTATCGGGAAATTGTGGCATAAGAAATAAACCTTTATAGTCAATTGATATTGTTCAAATGTTTACTTTATCTTTGAATAAATAAATGTGATTCATTGATTTTAAATTTACCTTTTTCCTCCTTCAGTACCTGTTTCTACACTTTCAGACCTGAAGGCTTTTGAGAGACGATTGACTGAGGTTATAGCTAGCTTGCAACCTGCAACACTAAGATGGAGAAGTAAATATTCTTGTTTCTTACTTTTAATTTTCTTCAAAAATTTTGCATCTGTCAACCGGTTTGGATATACTTGCAGTGCTGTTGGGTTTTATCTCAGTTTGTACCGCTGTGGGTGCTTGGCACTGGCTGACAGATCCCAATACATCGGCAGTATCTTTTACACAGAGTCTATGCAATCATCCATTCTTTACTATGGCTAGTATAATATTAGGTAAGTGTAAAAATAATCTGTATTTTATATAATTGCGATATGTATGTGTGTGTGTGTGTGTGTGTGTGTGTGTGTGTGTGTGTATATGTATGTATGTACGTACATACATATGGATATATGTACGTACATATTTTTCCAAGTACCAATGAATCGTTTTACAGTGATATTGTTTATGATGGGAGTACATAGACGTGTAATAGCGCCCAGTATTATAACTCAACGTGCCAGAAGTGTTCTTGGTGATTTCAATATGAGCTGTGATGATACTGGAAAGTTGATTCTGAAGCCCACAAGACCTTCGCATCCACATGAGACTTAAGAGTAATATACATAATCCAAGTATTAATTTGGAATGCCTGTTACTATACTAAATGTGAATATGGAATGTTGGTCTTTTTACCGGCTGTTTATGTGTATTGTGTGAAATTCACTATAAGATCACTATGAAAAATGGGAAGTTTATCTGTTTTAGACTTGAATTTTGTCAAATTGTGTGTGCAAATTCTATAGATTATTTGAAATCTTTCATTAATGCAATACTTATACATACACGTATGTGTGTGTGTGTGTGTGTGTGTGTGTGTGTGTATTGATTTATATAATACATACACATATATGTGTATATATATATATGTATATATCGCAAAAATTTATAATGTTCAATACTTTTTAAAAGTATAACGAATCAGTTAATGTATTAAAAAAGAAAAGAAATTTGACCAGTGCTGAATTAGAATTATTTGGATAAATCGTGAAATTGATGTTTGACACTCTGTATAAATCATATAATGTATATATAACAAAATTGACATATGTTAGATGTGTTAATATTTTTTGATACAGTGTACATATAGAACAAGTCAATATTTGTACAGTTTACTTTAGGAAATTACGAAGAAATCCTTATTTTAGCAATAAGATAGTAGTCAAACTGTAATCAAACCACTTGTCAAGGGTCTTCTTACTTGAATCGAATGAGTTTACAAAAATAATTACAATCTATGTAAGTCCTGTGTTCAAATTAATAGTTAAGATAGATCAATCAAATGGATTATGCATCACCATCTGTATATAAATGCTTATTCATAAGCGCTCAATGTAAAATATATTGTTTTCCAATAGAGTTAAGGAAACACGTGATATCCATTGAAGTTCAAGAAATAGATTGTTCTAATGATTCCAGTATACAAAAATAGATCCGTCATTAGGGAAGGCATAATAAAATAGTCAATTAGGACTATCAATATAATATCTACATTAAAACATTAAAACATATTATGCCGATGATACGATACTGTGGCAGATTTATTGTATTTATTAGAATGGTTATATATAATATAATTTTTCTTTACAAACCACATCTCACTCTCTCTTTTTTCTCGATATTTTTAATGAGTGTTCTTATCGCGTAAGAATGTAATTTCTTCGCTATTTTTGTAAAGCAAAAATAGTTTTATGTAGTTTATCCAATCGAAACTGTGCATAAAAACTCATGTAATTTTTGTAAAAAGGAAAATTATAGGGAGGCACGGTATATATAACGATCAAAACATTTATTTGTAATTTGTTACTTATTACAATCTTATTTGCAGCGCAGTCGACACGATTTGCGCGTGTTTTCTTAAAATAGTACGTGTACAATGTTGCATTTTTACGCGGAGACCTGTTTTCTCGTCGTCAGTCTCGATACTGTACGTACTGCATTGGTATGTATATGTGTGTGTGTGTGTGTGTGTGTGTGTGTGTGTGTGTGTGTGTGTATGTGTGTGTATGTATGTATGTATGTATGTATGTATGTATATACACACACATACACATACATAAGTAATGCTTATTTAATCGATAAGAGCAATCTCTTGACAATCGCCAATGAACAATGATGACGCGATAGGGAAACACGCGGTAAGACTTTTTGACAACAATTGTATAAAGTCAGTGCGTAAATAACCATAAACTTCGTTACAGAGATATGCGTACGGATACCTCGTAGTTAACTTAGCAGAGAGCTCCAGGTGGTTACCTGGACCCGTCAGTTATATGATTTTTACGAAGCGCAGTTTATTATTCTGAGGTATTTCTATGATCATCATCATTCCGTCGGTATGCACTTTATGGCTTGCGTAACTGTCGTATATAGTACACGCGCGCGCGCGCGCACATGTATGTGTATATACATATACATACATATATATACATACACACACATATATATATACATATACATACATATATGTATACACACACACGCGCGCGCGCGCACACACACACACATACACACATGTATACACATACACACACATGTACACACACACACACACACACACACACACACACACACACACACATATAATTTTTTAACACACCCATATATATATACATAATTTTTTATATCAATTATTAAAATTATTTTATACTAATCAATATAAAAGAATTTGGCTCGCGGATCGATCGAATGATATATGTAATATTTGGAATGACTTAATTGTGTATGTGTAATCATATTATACAATGCTCAAAACGATCATTAAATGATCATTTCTTTAAATGAAGGCAACATTCAGCATAAATCACTGAAATATTGTCAATGTCAAATTTTTGCCCTCAATAAACATACTTAAAATAACGTATTTAAATAAGTGTAATATTATTTTGCTTCCTTGTAGTTCTATTTAACTAAGCATCATTCGATAATACATAGCCAAGTTGTTTTGGGTATTGTATATAACATCCGACCGATCCGCGAGCTAGATCCGTTTATATTGATTAGTACAAAATAATTTTTATAAAATTAGTGATTGTGTGCGCATGTGTGTGTGTATGTGTGTGGGTGGATTGAATGAGTTTTATATTTCGAGCAGTATTCCAAGTCTCTTGATTCGTCGTGTCGCAGGAACATTATTTTTTCTTTTTCTTTTTGACGCTTCTCATGTCAAATCACTTGGAATTCCATCCTCACACTCTTTATCTCGGAAGAGCGAATTCTCTCGTTGATCTATTCGGTATACTTTCTTGCGGAGAAAGTATTTTGAAGATATCATGTAAAGTACAATACCGAGAATTACGTTACACGAGCAATTAGCGCGATTGTATATTCATCGTTCGCATATCAGTAATCATTGTCAATTTAGTCACAATGACTCGTCTCACCCCTCAAAATTTCTCTCTCTCTCATACTGTACTCATACTTTACACGGTTATTACCTCCAATTCAATAAATTTATCAAATTCGTACTATTCGAATTTTTATCAAACCTTTATTTTCGAAGTTATCGTGGATGACTCTCCTTTCATTGATGTAAAAAGAAAAGAGGAAGGCCTACTTTTCCACGATTTGTATGTCCTTTTCTATCCGCGACATTAAAGCGATAAAAACTATAAACGCAACTGTCGCGCACGAAAGCAAGCTTACACTAGTGCATGGAAAACAAATCTCCAGCGGAGGGAAGAGGCGCTAGACCGCCCGTGACGTCCGGCAACTGCGTCAAGTCAGGAAGATTTGAAATGTGAGACTTCACCTCCGTTCGCACCGCACACACTTTCTTTAGTTTTTCCTTATAGTCCTAGTAACATACGTATAATAGACCCGTGATATTACCGAACGAAAATACGCGCAAATTAAACTTTGCAAAAAAAAAAGATGTAACAATGTGATGTAACGCAATTTAATGTAACTAGTTTAATGTAAATTTAAATCTATATCACCCCTAACAATCGCATATTTTATCACCTTGAAAAAACTATCACTAGAGTTGTGTTTTTTTTTTTTTTTTTTTTTTAATAAAATATGGCCTTATATCTTACATATATCCTCTCCAACTGTCAGAGAGTATGATATAGACTCCGATAATTTTTAGTCTTGAGTCGTTTACGTCTAACTTAAAAAGTGCTATCTTATTGTGTGATCTTAGAAAACCTGTCCCATATTTTGGATAAATATTTCATCATTACTCTTTTGTCCGCGGCGTATACCGGATTAGGATGTTGAGGATATTACGGAGTGGAAATGGAATCTTACCTCTAAAGTGCTTTGTGCCTGCTGCAGCAGCTGTCTCTGTGCCAAGGTATAATCTCGGAGCATCGTTAACAGTCTTCTCCTGTCCTCCATCTCGGCCTGCAATCGTCCATTGTAGTCTGCAAGAAGAGCGGCAGCTTCGTTCACCGCGACGCTCAATTGATCCGCGGCCGCTCGGTCGGCGAGATTTGCGAGCAACGAAACCTCCGATACTTCCGGTGGCAAGGACGCGATACGCTCCCTAACGCCAGCGTCCGACGACGCGGTATTTTCCAGATCCTGAAAAGCGAAAGGATTCGTTAGTTCTCATCTTTAGCAGCGTCGTGTGTGTCTTATGCGTGCCCGGAGAACCTGCATCTCCGGATTCGGTACAACATATTCGATTTGTAAACAAATAACGAGGCGCATCTTCTCTATATGATGTTGTTATAATTGAGGAAACCCAAGCACAAACTAAATATATCACCGAAGAAGGAATGAAGAGTATGTGTGTATATGTGCGCGTGTTATATATGTGTGCGTGTGTGTGTGTGTATGTGTATGTATATATATATATATAACAATATATATAATATATATATATATAACTATATATATATATATATACACACACACAATACCGAAATAAAACATTGACCAAACGTTAACGGCATTTATTCGGTAAGTACGCTTCGAAGAATGAGATTTTTCCAGAAATCAAAGGCGAATGGAAACAAGTTTCAATGCACGCTCCATTCTAGAGCGAAATAAGGTAAGCGACGATACAGCCAAACAAAACAGACAAATAATCGATGAGGGTGAACGCGTTAGAAGCGTTTGCCGTTACACGCCCCATGTGTGGATTCAACATTTATTTTGGTACGAATAAAGTATTTTATTGTCGACGATACAGGTTCGGCAAGATGCTCGTTTATATAATCGAAAATTAACCATTAGGGCTTTTATGAGCTCCTCAGTTTCCGGTGGATCGCCAGCCGGTGTACGGGGACTCAACGTTACGTGAAGCTCTTTGGTACCATCTACTTCCACTTCAGTCTCAGACTTCTTCCTCTCTTTTCTCTCCTTCTGTAAGCACAATGAGAACATTCTATAGCTCTGTTACACCATTTTGTACACATTGTAATCGTATCGATTTGCTCGAGGCTATTATAAATTCAAAAATTGAAATTATCAAGTAAAAATTGCAAATGCTTCCGAAATATCTTGCACTACGAATGTCACGCAAGTTTATTGTTTTTGCATAGACAATGCTCTTGGGATATGTATGTATTGTCTCCTAGATAAGAAATATGATTGTGTGTGTATGTATGTATATATGTATATATATATATATATATATATATATATATATAGAGAGAGAGAGAGAGAGAGAGAGAGAGAGAGAGAGAGAGAGAGAGAGAGGGAAAGAGGCGTAATTAGATAATATACGCACCTTTATCTTCTCGGTGTCGAGCCTTGCTCTCTTCCGTGGTGGCGGTGTTCCTGAGTCCTTTATTAAATCTGTGAAAGCCGCTTTTAATTCTGCTATTTGAGTCTTGTCGTAAACTCCTCGGTCCTCCCAGATATGCAATAACCTACTCAATTGTCGCCTTGTTTTATCATCAAAACCTTTCAAATGCTCAAAGGCTTTTGGCAGAACTGTTCCGAATTCTTTTCCAAATTCTGGTCCCTTTTTTTTACTGTTCTGGATGACGTCATTTGCCAGATACATAAACATCAACTTTCGATGTTCCTTTGCTGTAAAAATACACACAGTTGTAGCGATGCGCTAACAATGATTCTCACACAAGAATTTAACGCAACCAAGATTATTATATCGAGACAATGAGATAAATAAATAAATAAACTAATCATACTTTTGACATGTTCATTTAATTTTTTTTGCAATATATGCCTCCAACTACATGCTATTGTATTGTTATAAACTCACATTCTGCTTTTAAAGATATAAGTCATATGTACGCGTATGCGTACGCGCGCGCATATGTACGCGTGTACTAAGTATGTTACACTTGTTTATAAGTTGTATAATAAATTTAAATACACGATTAAAATTATCCCAACTTCCATGGTAAGTGTTGTTATGTCAACATGTCACCATGTTATCGTCATCTTAGACGGCGAAAAAGATAGTGACACTGCGAAACGTTTGCAAAAATATATCGTTTAATCTTTGAGAAATCAATCCGATAAAAAATGTAAATTGTAAAATGTGTTTCCTCTCAGTATATCCCCGTCTCATTAATGACTTGAACAATATTAACAGCACAACACAACACAACACAACACAGGACGAGATGAGATGAGACGAGTCTCGTTGACTCGTCTTCGAGTCACCGCCTGCCGAAGCAACCATATGATTTTTACGCGAATGTTGGTCGAGACAACGCGATCCGCAACTTCTCGAAAGCTACACGGCCGACGAGACAACGCGATCAGTCAACGCGACGTGATTTCACACAGAGGAGATAGGAACGTTCGTCAACGGACGACCGATGCAGCGCAGCGCAGCCGTATAAACTAACCTAAAAGCTCGGACGATTTTCGATCTGAATCGAAGTCGAGACGAATGAATCGTCTTGATTTGATCAACTCGTCAACAGAGCATTGCGCGTCGACAGCATGGCAAATTGACACCAAGTCGAGACGCGAATAACTCGCTACATAGATACCTTTGCACATCTCCCTGAACCACACCTTCACGATCGTGGGGTGATGTTTTCTATGATGAATGAGCCAGAGCGACAAGGTCTGAATACTCTGCTGCGACGTGTTTAGATCCGTCAACCGTTTCACCAATGCGCTCTCCGTGAACCCCGTCATCGCACCCCGTTGATCTTTGCACAACTTTGCCAGAACAAGACCAACTTTTCGTATACACGTCTTCCACACGTCTATACGTGCTCTTTTCTTTCTCTCTCTCTCTCTCTCTCTCTCTCTCTCTCTCTCTCTCTCTCTCTCTCTCTCTCTCTCTCTCTCTCTCTCTCTCTCTCTGCCTTTCCCGTACCGTATATATCCACACTGCCGATGTTACCCTCGCATAAGAACGACTCGGAGTGACGCGCCGAGCCAACAGCTGAAGCTCCAAGGTAAGATAGTCAGCGCCTCTGGCGGTTTCCGACAACGTTAATGCAGAACCAAGAGGTCTGTTCGTTTTGTCTGCACTGTTGAACTGGTGCAACAAGTTGAAGTGAGAAAACCTAAGTTTGTCTCACTTTAACTTAATGCACCAGTTCAGCAGTGCAGACAAAACGAACAGGCCTAAGGTCTGTCCTTTTGGTGCTTGGAACCCTTTCGTACAGCTTATACAGAACGGAACGGAACGGAAGAGTATTTATCTTTGAAATTCCAAAATCAAAACAAATTTACGGTGAGATTGTATGATTTCTGAGATAGGATGACATTTTTTAACATTGAAGGTGCAACCTTAATAAGAATTGCACATTTCTTCATTCTCACGGTTCTCGAATACTTCATCTAAGACTTTCTTCACAAAAACGTCAAAGAGCAGAACGAGAGTGTCACTTGTACCCAATATGGTGCACGACATCGCGAGATGAGTTTTAATTATTAATAATTAAATATCTCTCAGAGAATAAATTTTTCACATAGAGAATAGTTTAGACTTTAACGACTTGCTAGTAGAAACTTGCCATTCCTCGTTTCCTTCGTGGATTCGCTTTCGACGTTTTGCGAACACGTTTCAATCGCTTCTTCCTCCCCCGAAGAGATGAATCGGAAACTTCACGAAACGTGGAAAATGAATTCACGAAGAAGTGTCACCAATCTGGAAGTTAGATCAAGAATCTCTTGAGAGAGAGAGAGAGAGAGAGAGAGAGAGAGAGAGAGAGAGAGAGAGAGAGAGAGAGAGAGACTGCATAAAGTATTAAATTCAATATTGACCGCAACGTGGTGGGAAATTACTTATGCAAAAACATCGATTTCCTTCTCTTTTTTCTTGCAGTTATTACTCGTAGTAAACTAAAATATCAAGAGTAATTTATATCGGATGGATAATCGATTGCGCGCGATGTACGCGCTATAGGATGAATGAAAACGTTTGGCGGGGTGGGACAACATCCGAGAACAAACAGACGAGACTGTGCAACAGTGTGTGCGCGCGCGCGCATACATGTGTCGATTTAAAACAATAATTTATTTGTATACAATATTATCTTATTGTGGATGGCTATACGCCTAATGGACAGGGTTATTATAAACAGCACGTGCGACCGACTCGATTTGAAACAATAATTTATTTCGCACAGAATCTGTTTCTTATGGGCTATGGTCTAATGGACAAGTTATTGCGTCTCCTCGTTAGATACCGGCAACTTTGCCGTTTACACGTCATTTAGTAGTAAATCGATAGGACATTCACTCGGAGGATGGAACGCACTCCTCGCTATTGTACTTACATACTTCGCTCGCGATAAATTGGTGTCTGTAAACAATTAACGGGACAATTTCGGCCCCGTTCCCCGTTGTATCTCTCCCATTACAACGGAATATATAAAGAGATAAAATACCGTAAATACACAACGTGTATTCTCTCACTCATTCGTTATGCGAAAACGGTTAACGGAACTATGGAAGCGGATCTGTATGCAGGCGGTCTGTAGTATTTTGTATTTTCTTGCGTCCTAATTGGAATTCACTCGTTTGTCCGTTTCACCTTTTATCTGCGCTTCCGCGATATGCAGTTTTTCTTGCATGGTTGATCATAAATCAATCACTCCCCTTCGTCGTAGTACTTTATCAACAGAGTACGTGAAATTGCTTCCAATCAAATGCTTCCAAGCTAAAAACTGTTTACACATTACGGGCTTAGGAAAAAGAGATAAAAAATATTTACGATCTTTCTGAGGAGAAGCCTCCTCACACTAGGACAATGCTGTGTGTCAATGACGGAAAGAGCCGTGTGGATATATCGGATGTGTTCTGTCATTAGGTCGCTACACTCGGCTAAGACCGATACGGAAAAGGATCAACGTCTGTATAACGTTTGTTATTCCCTGCTACTGTATAATAAGTCGAAATAAAATATCTCTATATGAATATATCGGTGTGATGTCATCGAGCGATGTGTACATACATCTCAATACACGTTCGTCTCACCTCTCGGTAATGCTCGGTTCGGCATTCTGTGTTATTGTACGTCGACATTATCGAATTAATTAATTTTACGACGCAATTTTAACTCGTCAAGTGCCAAGTGATGCTTGATTTCAGAGAGCTCTCTCGCGGTTCTGCTCTCTGCGGGTTCACGGGCAGTCCTCGTTTCGTGTACTTGCCACTAACGTTTCATGACATGAACATGAACATTTCAATTTGCTTCTTCCGGAATAGAAATTACCTGAAATAAGGAGAGTCGTAAACAAAGTGTCGAATGCGAATCCACGACATGGGACACACTGTGCTGCAGCACAGTCTGAAAGCTAGATTAAGCATTTCTTCACACCCGAGGAAGCCCGAGGCCGAGTCAGATTTTAAAGAAGTTAAATTTCAGTGAAGTGAATTTAAATTTTGATCAGCAAGCATCTCTCCATTTGACAGATGTGTGTCATTCTCTTTGAGACTCGTGGAGTTAAAATCCACAAATTCGTTCGCTAAATTTCTCAATTTTAACTCATGTCCCGTGCCACGGGACATGAATCGGGACGAAGTTTTCCGTCCAGGCCGTTTTCGTTACTCATACATTTCGGCTCTGGAACGTGGTATCATCGTGATACAAGTGTGTATTATGAGATACAGATTATTTGACAAATGGTAACACGCGATTAATGCGAGCGAATGACAGGTTACATAAAATTGCACGGAACGTGTCGATGGAAAGATTTTCGCAGAAAGAGAGAGATGAACTCTGACTCGACAATTTAATTAACTCGACAAGTTTTTTGCACACACACTAGTCGTCTATGTGTCTAATGTAGAAGTGAGTGTATAAGGAGGGTGGGGGGAGGGGGGGAGGGAGTCCCTAATTTTTTCCCGAAAGTGACATCGGAACGGATGAAAGAGGGTGCAGATGTGCGCGCCATGTGATTTCTCGCGGTGTGACGTTTGTCTACAAATCCTCTCATTTTAAACGCGGACAACTTAACGTGGAGGAACTTAACGCGCATCTCAATACAATCAAAACCTCATCGAATAAAGAGAGACGATTGAAATCTAGATTTGTTAAAATTCAGGTTGTTCAAACTAAAATTGTGCGCCGCGCACAAGAGACTTTAGGTGATAAAATCACATAATCCCCCTTATAATCTCGGGAACAGAATTGTCGTGAAAATAAATGTTGCGCCCCACACAACAAATGACAAATTGATGAATTTCTGATTGCTCTGAGATTTACAATAAACTCCCCTTTCTTCACATTTTAACGGAAGAATTGATATGATTGGACGTTTGGCGATATGCCGACAAGGAGATGTACTCCCACTTTTTCACCCATCGTTGCACACGTCGCTCTTCAGTTCATTTGGAATTGGAGGGGCTCCGTGTAACTTTCTCTTTCACCCCAAGCTTTTTCGTACGAAGGAACGCTTGAAAAGGGCAAAATTTCATGCATAACGCAACGATCCTCCCGGCATTTGGCCGATCATGCGGACAAAGTCAACGTTTGTGAACAATTAACGGGACTACTCCGGCGGTACTATAAAGGGGAGAGGGAACGCTGAACGATCGTAATAAATGGTAAAATTCCGAGCTCTGTGATGTCATTTTTCTTTTCTTGCGACGTTTTCCGCAAGATATAATGCAAGATATATGAATGCGCTATAAAACTGATCGATTCGCATAATACGCATATCTCGATATTCGATAATACGATAGTAATCGATAATGGAAATATGTTAAATACCGGTGTTGTTAAAATTGCGCTCTTGCGCAATTACCGCTGTTACCGTTGTAACAGTCAGTGTGTCAGAAGTTCAAGAGCTGTAACATTTTAAGCTCTCGATGAGTTTCGCAACGCATTCCGTATCCAACGGGAAGATCTCTTTTTAAGAATTCTCTCAGAAGAAACTAGCAGAATTATCGCGACATTCAGAGAGATCTCTTTCCCTTCAGCGAAGACGACAATAATTGTACAACATTGCAAACGCAATTCCTTTCATGCCACATCTGTTGTATGTATATAAGTGGAAGAAATTGATTTCTCTTCAGATCAAATTTCTGAAACTTGGACATTAACATGTATGTATAACAGAAATTTAACAGCGTTGTAAGAGACTCGTATATATTGCACATGTACACACTCGTATGCGCACAGGTGCATATACATTTAAAACGTCTCTCACGTACATTGCTTTAATTTTGGCAGAGTTCAGACAAATTTTGGTGGAGTAGCTAGTTGACGTTCGCTTTCAATCACATCGTCACAAAAGGAAGTTGGAGAAATAAAAAAGGAGAGAAAAAGACAAGAGAAAACGAAACGCAAAAACGAAGGGATATAGGATCTGACTTACTCTTATACAATCATAAAACATCCGGTATGGTCATAAAACTATTTATTCGAGAAGCGATAAATAAATACCGCACACTCTCGTCAAATTTAACGCAAATGGATCTATGTGCCGTATAAAAGAAAAGAAAGAAAGAAAGAAGACAAGGAAAACGGAACCTCGGTACAACAGGTTGTCGACGATAAACGAGATGCCCACCTTTTCGGCCGCGCGTGTCGCGCGGTCTTGTATCAAAGTCTCTATTATCAATGCGTAAAAAACTAACCATCTCGAGTGAGTAACATGAGCGACTGATTTTCCCGTCTACTTAACACTGTATCGAACTTTGTCGGCGCCGTTCGTCGATCGGCGAGATCGTCGATGAACCTTGAGCAACGTGTTCTCGGGACGAAGCTATCATCTATCCGAACGATAATACCGACGTCTAAAAGACGTCCTAATCTCTCAGACGTCATATAGACGTCCATCGGAATTTCGGCTAACCGTTTCGCGTAACACCTCGCAAGGTTCGCAATTATCGATATTAGTTGATGCCAGTCGGTGCAATAAGATTCGCGGTTAATGACTTTGCGCGTAATAGACCAGGTTACTCAGGGCGATTCGGTCGTTTTCTTTTTTCTTTTTGTGTTTCGGTATTGTCTATCGTTCTGCGAACGATTCCGCGTTTAGTAGAGCGGTAGAGCGACAGAGTATTAGAACGGAGATATTATAATTGTGATGCTACAGCAGTATAACACAGCGATTGTGCATCGATGTGCAATGCGCCGAGGTCGGCTTCATTACGGGAGAAGACGGCACCTCGGTGCCGGTGCCGCCCCGTAAATTATTGCACTCCGTAGTGCATTGGCTACTACTGTTATATTCCGGCGGCAGTTTGGAGTTTTACACAAAGAGAGAGAGAGAGAGAGAGAGAGAGAGAGAGAGAGAGAGAGAGAGAGAGAGAGAGAGAGAGAGAGAGAGAGAGAGTGAGAGAGAGAGAGAGAGTGAGAGAGAGAGAGAGAGTGAGAGTGTGGTCGTGCTCTCTGTAAGCCGCCGTAAAAAAAATAAAAGAAAAGGAAAAATATCTATATACAATATCCGTATCCCCGTGTGCGTGAACGTAGCGCGGCGTTGTACTGCGAGAGAGAGAGAGAGAGAGAGAGAGAGGGGGGGGGAGGGAGAGGGAAGAAAGGGGAGATCGGAGAAGAAGCGCGCGCGATAACAAATCTAATAATTTATCCAACAAATTCCCAAGAATGTATTAAGCCTAGGTCAGAACGAAATATAATATCGATAACTGTCGATAACTCGATCGTTGAAGCAAGTCACGACTCTGTTTTGGTCGTCTCGCTGTCGACTTCCGTCTTCAGTTTCTGTTCATTTTGTCCGGAGGCACCCTTTTCGCGTTTCTCCTGTCCTACCCGATCCACGTCCACGTTCACTTCTTCCTCCTCCTCTTCCTCTTCCTCCTCTTCCTCGTCAACCTGCACCACTTCCTCCTTCACCGCTACATTGCCGTCGCAGTTGCGCGTCTCAGCCTCAGCATCCTTCGTGTCGCGTGCGTTCTCGGACGGCGAAGGGTTCTCCCCTGGACGATGAAAGGTCAGGACGTGATGGTCCAGCTCCGTCGTGAAGAAGAATTTGAGCGTGCATTTGGAACAATCGTACGGTCGCGCACCGAGGCCGTGCTCTTGCACCATGTGATTCTGCGAAACGGTTCGCGTTAATGCTCGCGAAATTATTACGGACAGCTCAGCAAGCGTGTTCGTCACAGGGACAGGGACGCAAATAGGAAAAACGCGACAGTTCGGCAATAAGATGCGCGTCATTCATCGAAACAATCGAAATTTATGCCGCGACGAGACTCTTTCATGCGAAATGCGCATTTCGGTCGGTCAAATCTCACGCCCGGACAAGTCAAGTCAAGTCCGGTATCCGGGGAAAGGAATTTTCCCAATGACGACTGTCTGAGACGAATCTTTTGTCCTTTGGTGTGTTTTGCTTTTTTCGAAAAAAAGTAAAAAAAAAAAGAAGACTCGTCTTTCTCGACTCGGCGATGGCACTCGGCCGGGGGCGGAGTGAATGGAGTGAGGCTTTAAAATGGTTCCCCGTTACCTGAAGGCCAACAGGAGCTGTAAAAAGCGCCTGGCAGATGTAGCAGTTAAAGGCAGGGCATCCGGCAAACGTGTGTTCTATCAGGTGACTTTGCAACTGCAAAGGGCTCGCGGCCTCGAATAAACACAAATGACACCGCAAAGCTTCCAACGAGGATTTCGCAGAAGTGTCGCAGAGGTGCTCCTTCCTTACATGTTGTTGAACCTTGGCTTCGGTCGCAAAGGGCACCTAGGAATGTTCATTCATCTTATCATATATCCTATCACGAAAACGCGAAAATTTTCTCAACCTCAATGTTATCCTCGACATAGAAGATTAGAAGAGGAAAAGAAGAAAGAAAGAAGAAAGATACACAAAATTCGTCGTGTATTATTCCACGTCCATTCTTTCACACTCGAGCAAAGTAAGGATCGGAACGCTTATGCCTCCCTCCCCCGCCCCTCCGAGCAATGCCTCGAATTTTACAGCGTGTTATATCATTTGATATTTCCTATCATTGGAAAAGAAAGAAATGGCACGAAATGTCTGGCGGGAAGATACTCGAATAAACTCGAAAGCTTGACCGTGCAGAAAAAAGGAAGAAGGACAAGTTTCTTAAGTTTTAAGCACCATTTGCCACTTGCCTTCTCGCGGTGCTCGGCTATCCTGTGCTTCTCCGCCTCCTCAGGATCCTCAAATTTGACCCCGCACTCTTCGCAGCGCTTGTTGTTATCCGCATTTCTTTCCTTCCTCGGTCGATCCTCCGCCTTGAGGCCCCTTCCGTTCTCCCACTTGTCCTTGTGGGAACTGTCCCACTGAGCGTCCTTGTTCTGAGCGAGCCATGCCGCTTCGTACTTGGCTCGCTGCTCGTACGTGGAATTCAGGATAGGAAGTCCTTGAGAGTGTCGCACGTAACAGGATTTGCAGACTCTGAGCGGCTGTCCACCCGCGCTGGCATGATTGGGCGGCAAGCTGACAAAGTCGTCCGCCGCGAAATCCCGCAAGCAGAAGCAGCAACCTGGGCTCTGAGCGGCCTTAGCGGCGGGACTCGCCGGGCTGGATCCGTCGCTGTGCGATCCTGACGACGTCCTCAGGTGATGCCTGGCGTGCAGACGGCACTCCAGGTCGCTGATCAGCGTCTGCCGGCAGATCACGCACGGCGCCGGCAAATGAGGCAGCGAATTGTCCAGCCGTTGCTGCGGATCCACGTTCTCTAGGCTGTGCCTCTGCACGTGTTCCAGGAACTGGCTCTCCGAGGCGAGGCGACCGCGACACACCACGCAGATGTCGCTCAACTGGATCTTGCAGTGCTTCTGGAGTTTGTGTTCGGCTAAGGTCGCCCCGGACGGGCACACCTCGTCGCAGATGTTGCACTTGTGACGTCCACCCGGTTCGTTGGACGCGTGCTGGATCCTGGTGTGCGACTCCAGTTCGCTACGGGAACGGCAAACCTCGCCGCAGTACGCGCAGGTCATGCTCAGGGCGGATACGCTCTTGCTGCTGGGCAACTTGGAGGGCGTGTGAACTAGTTTCTTGTGCGCCTGCAGCTCGGCCTCGTTCGCGAACTCACCGCGCTCGCAGAGCTCGCACTGTTGACCGCCGGAAGTGCCAAAGTTCGGTCGCTTGTTGTTGTTGTCGCGTTGGTTCAGGGAGTTGTTGTTGCTAGACGCTGGCGAGCGGCCTCGCTTGAGAGATTTCGGCTGGAAGATTTGGACAGGTGGGTTGCTCCGTGCAAATATTTTTACTTTAGAAACGGCACGTTACACGCGTGTAATTTCGATTCTCATTGTTTGAATTTGCTTGAACTGCGCGATTCTGCGAAATCGACCTGCGAAGCGACTATATTTACACACATTATATGTACCACCTGTGACTAGAAAGAAACGCGGAAACGAAACCGCCCTACACAACGAACTCGACGAACTCTCTCTCTCTCTCTCTCTCTCTCTCTCTCTCTCTCTCTCTCTCTCTCTCTCTCTCTCTCTCTCTCTCTCTCTCTCTCTCTCTCTCTCTCTCTCTCTCTCTCTCTCTCTCTCTCTCTCTCTCTCTCTCTCTCTCTCTCTCTCTCTCTCTCTCTGTGACTCTCGTCTTCTCGTGATTTTCTTTCGGCAAATCATGTCGTATCTTCTCGCATCAATCTCTCGTTTGCATGAGAAAAGTTCGACTCGAGTCAATCGCATCGATCCGAGATATTTAAATTACTCGTACACGAGATGAATCAACTTGTTGGTAGTTGAAGGAAGGTAGTAGTAGTAGTAGTAGTAGTAGTTGGTAGGTGTTTCGTCATACATACACACCTAACATCACCGACACAGTGTTTCAGTGTTCAGCGAGTTAGACCCTTACCAAGCAGCCAAGCTTTGCACTCAAGCTCAAACTTTTCTTTTATATTCCGGATATTGTCAAACTGACGTGATTCCTCACGTCACTCACCTTGTGTGTGCAACTCCGTTGCAATTCGTACGACAAAATTTGCGCAAACCCGACCGAGAGACCCAGGTCGTTCTCGTTTCTCGCTGCATATCGCTGCGATCGTGCCAATTGGTCCTCCCTCGTTTCGACTACACCCGAATTACACAACCCTCGATCAGCCATCCCTCCCCTCCCCCCAGCCGTCGCCCGAGCAACTCACCTCCTCCTGATTTCTGACCGGTCGATGAACCCGGCCGTTCTCCCTCTCCCTCTCCCTCTCCCTCTCCCTGTTCCTGACGGACGATGAAGCCGGACGATGATCCCCCGCGTGCGCCTGAGCGACGTGCCTGTCCAGCAGAAACTCCACCGCGAATCCCTCCTTGCAGACAGGACACCTGTAGAGACTGGCGGAGTGGCTGGCCAGGTGAAGTTGCAGCTCGAGCTCCGAGTTGCAGCAGACGCCGCAAAAGACGCAACGTGCCGCGGCGCCGCCGCTGGTGATACCCGGCGTCGAGGCGGGACTCCTCGCCAAGCCTGGACTACTGTTGATCAGGGCGGCGGGCGGCGCGTGCACGTTACGGACGTGCGCCGCCATCTCGGCCTCGCTCCTGAAGAAGCTCCTGCCCTCGCCGGGCGCGTTCCCCGGCGAGTTCTCATTATTGGACAAGGTGCAGCACGCGCTGCACCGATAGACCCGGCATTCCTGGCTGTGTTTCACAGCAAAGTGCAACTGGATCGCCACCCGGGAGTCGAACGTGTCCCGGCACAGAGCGCATCGGTACAAATGGTGCGCGTGACTATCCAGCAGGTGCCTCTGAAGGAGGTCGGGATGCGGGTAGAGCTTCTTGCAGGCGCCGCAGGCGTACTCCTTGCTGACTTGGCCCAGGTAATGCTTAATCAGATGATTCAGCATATCCTCGCGGTCCGGGAAGGTCGCCTCGCACTTGGAGCATGGGTGCCTGGACACTTCGTTACGATGATCAGCTTGCAGGTGTCGTGCCAGATGTTCCCGGAACGACTCGAAGTCCTTCAAAGCGGCGCCGCATTGACCGCACAGAAGGGTACCGGCGGTGTAGCCGCCGCCGCCCCCGGCGTCGTTTGTGGTGGTAGTGGTGGTGGTGGTGGTGGTGGTGGTGGTAGTGATGGTGGTAGTGGTGGTGGTGGGTCTGACGGAGTGTTTGTTTGTAAGATCCGCTGCTTCCGGCTGCACGTCCGTGCTCCTTTGCAATCTCGTGTCTCTCGTGACGCCGTCGTAGACGCCATTCACCTTCGGCTCGCCGTACTCGATCGCGGCTGTCGGCGCGATCCGACGATTCTCGCAGTGCTGGAGAACGTAGTGCTCGGCATAGGAGGCTGCGGACGAGCACGGGATGCCGCACAATGGGCACATCATCATCGCCGCGCCGAACGCACCGAGTCGGTGTATCGACAGCAAGTGATCGCGCAGGCAGCCCAGCGTGGAGAACTTCATGGTGCACTGATTGCACGTGAACGCGTTCTCGTAGTGGTCCCTTTCACCGGGTCTCTCGCGATCCTCCGGATATTTCCGATCGCGCGAGTCCTTTGACGACAAGCCGTCCACCTGCCGGTCCGCCAACGACTTGTCGCGCGAACCTGGGGTAATCTGCTCATTCGTCCCGCTGGGTGACGGTGGTACAACCAGACTCTCGCCGCTTAGTATCGCCTGATGCATCGAATGCACGTGCATCTGCAATTGCTGCATACAACTGAACGAGTCTTTGGTGCAGTACATGCAGGTCAGCTTCAAGGGGGAGCTCAGAACGGGCGTGGTGGAAGCGCTGCAGGTGCTCTGAGAAGTTTTCAGAGCATTCGGCCTTGGATTCAGGCCCAGATTCAGGGACGGCGACGGCGAACTCGGCACCGGTGGCGACGACGTGCTGTGCGACGAGACGCTCCGTCTGCCGTAGTCGACGTCGTGAAGCTTGCCGCCAGTTGACTGAGAGGACGATTGATGATGCTTCTTGTGGGACTGCATGTGCGATGTTAGTGCCGCAGCTGTGTTGTAACCCCTCGAGCAAGCTGTGCATTGGTAAGGCTTCTGCGTGTCGTGCGTCTTCATGTGGATCTTTAGGTGATCGCTGGAAAAAAAACGTTGAATGTATCCGAAGGAGTTTGTAAGACGAAAACGAAGAGAAAGCATCTTCCGATCGCGCAATGATCATGATGCAGTCGGCGATGATGCGTGTACGGACAGTACATTTGTCGAAATAGGAAATTTGATAAACAGTGTAGACAGACAAACAAAGAGAGAGAGAGAGAGAGAGAGAGAGAGAGAGAGAGAGAGAGAGAGAGAGAGAGAGAGAGAGAGAGTGTAAAGACTGACAGGCAGCTTTCGCCGGGTTTGAGAAGAGTTTGAGGCATCTTATTCCTTAGAGAAGTAACCACGCGACTGAAATGATCGTTTGGCAGTGAGATGAGCTGCTCATTTGCTGTATGAAATATAACTCGCTGTATGAGATATAACTTTAATTTACAGATTACACACAAAAAAAGACAACGTTCAATAACTGACTATAGAGCGACTATATTAAAATTGAATTAATGCTCGACGTTTACGTTCACACAATGGACTGGAAATAGATGGAACGGCGTCATCGTATGGGATAGATTATCTTGGAATAGGCGACCAGCGTTGGACCGACATTTAAAACGCCTCGCATCGTTTCTCGCCGCAAAAGTCGGATCTAATTCAGGAAATTCTATTTCCTGTAATACCTAACGAGTCCGTGTATATTCACGTTTCATCAGAAGCCGCGGTGTCCATCATAATTAGAAATAGATTCGTCTCTCTCGAGAACGCTGATATATATTTCGATTTCCAGCGTGAGAGACTGCTCACGAAAGTGGCATCGGGTGCCGCATTCTTTAATAATAAACGTGGCTTCGTGATCGGTCAATTTATCAGCGATTCGTTAACTGTGGATCAATTCCGTGAGATACTCCACGTGAGTTAACTAACTAACCGCCGCAGATCGGATTTTCGGTTAGAAAGATCGACGAGTCAAACCAGGCGAGGAATTAAACGCTGGTGACTCGATTAAGAGCGCAACGTGGAAAACTTAATGAAGACGGACAGCGGCGAGAGAGTTCACCCTCCTCGAAGCCTGCTTGAAAATATCTTTCTCGGATACTAATTAAGTATCCTTCTAATGGAGTGCTGGATGTATTACTTAGGTCAGAGGGACAGCGCGTCGATGTGACCATGTTAAGCACGATGACATTTCCATCGCGTACGAATAATGAATAAATAACTCTTACAGAGAGAGAGAGAGAGAGAGAGAGAGAGAGAGAGAGAGGGAGGGAGGGAGGGAGAGAGAGAGAGGGAGGGGAGGAGGGCAAAGGAGAGATAGATATCTAGTAATTTAAAATCTAGAAATTTTTCTCGCGATATACGCATCATCTGTTTCTAATTATGATTGTCCTCTTTTATCTAGACAAGGATGTGTGTGTGTGCGTAGTATGTGGGTGTGCGATGTGGAATCCACAAATTTTCAAGGATATCGATTTTCTCGTGTTTAAATATCGGGCACAAGTATCGCGCGGAAAATCATATTTTCCGGTGCAGTGGCAAACTAGCAGATTTGGCGTGTATGTTGTCTTGACGCTGTCGTTAGACAAGAATTGAGAGCGAGAGATGAAACGAAATCTCGAATGTATCGTTGACCTTTTGCAATTTCTCACGGATGAAACAAGCGAGAAAAGCCGAGAGAAAAAAAACTACTCTCACATCGTTCTCTTCAATAATTCTATTAGACTGGAATTTTTAACTTGGCCGGACGATCGTGTTACCACTGATCAACAACGCAAAATTGGTGACAAAAGTCAATACACCTCCAACCGGACCGGATGCTCGCTTCATCACTCTCCCAACTTACGAGGCGGGAAATTATTCATCGTCTTCGTCATGCAAAAGTCGACTTGGACCAATAATAAATCCGACAAAGACTGACAAAGGTATGACGTTTCCGCACTATCCGCCTCATCCGTCCTGATGGTCGAATGCAACGACGAGCAATGATACATTCAGCGTTGAGAAACGAACGAACAAGCCACCGCGCCCGAGTTTCCGCGCTAATCTTTCGCGTTCAATTAAAATTATTCCTCGTCGTCCTCTTCATTCGTAAATTTTTTTTGCTTTTTCCTTGTAGCCTTTGCCGTGTGTGGCCTGCGCATGGTATCGATACGGCTCGTCGGCTATCAGCGAAACGGCTACAGAGATTTCGGGCAGGCCGAGGCCGGCTAACGACTCGCGGCGGCGGTGGCGGTGACGGTGGCGGGATCTTCGCGGTGGACCCCCGAATGAATAATTCATCGTCGCCGGTGTTGGTCTACCGTGGTGGTGGAAAACTGAATCCGCGTGTAAGGCGAGGTCACAGCGAGCCGCGCGGTGTCCGAGCGGTCGAGCGAGCGAGCGAGGGAACGAATGAGCGCGAGACGAGAAGAACGGTCGCGCGGCCTCGGCGTCGCTGTCTCGGCTCGCGCGCCGAAACGAAGACAGACGGCGAATTTACTCCTGCACTTTGCGCCTGAATTATTCATGCGCCAGGATTATCGCCCGGCGAACAGCGCGCGCGACTGTCCTATTATCGAGCGTATCGTATCGTTCGCGCGGCCGGCCGCCGGCGAAAAAGCAAAAAAGAACGAGCGTCTCAAAAGCGAGCGTCGCGAGCGCACTTCGCGCTCGCTTAACGAAGAAGAGAATGGATCGACGAGTCCGCCGGTCATTTAGCCGATATAATACTACTCGCGACGGCTGCATATTCCTGTTTCAACGCTACTATCGCGGCGTTACCGACTCGTCGTCTCGACTCCGATGAGAATAGGATCCGATGACCGCGCGAGGTTCTGTTCCATAAGACGATCATGAGATAACAGCCTCGTCGCAGGATAGTCGCGCCTGTCTTTCGCTTCTCCGTTCCTTCGTTTTCTTTGCTTCTCTTGGAAAACTTGTGAAGGTGGGATATATCTTACTTGACAATTGTGCAAACTCGTAATTTTATTCCTGTCTGAAATAATTGGGGCAGGATTTGAACGTATTTTTGAAAATTGCCAAGAGATTGAGAAAATTAAATCATTTGATAATATTCAATGCTCTATATATATATATGTGTGTGTGTGTGTGTGTGTCTTCTCCGTGACGCATCTATTCTGGAACTGCATTCCGACATTGGCGTCTCATCGTTTATTTAAAGCTCTAAATATTCATTCGCAAAGAATGAAGAAAAACATAACTTTTTAAAGCTATCGGCATGTATCGTCGGCATTGGAGAAGAGCGCACCTCGAAATAGTCACAGTCTCCATATGCATGTATTGATTTATGCAACTATGACTTCTCATGACTGCTTCTGAAAAGTGGCCCAATGTTCACCAGAAAGCGGAGTTCGAACGGAATGGCGAATTGCCATTACGCAAGAAGAAGAGCGTGTTTGGGGTGATGAAAGGAAATGGAAATAAATGGTCCGTTAAACTCCGCTCCTGAAAGTCGGAGGAAATCCTATCGCGGTAATTCGGATGGATGCCGTTGACGTTGCCCGATCCCCGCAATTGTATATCTCGTCAATCTTGAACATTTTATTTATTCGTGATACGTTGAGTATACGCAAAATCATTCTCTTGGCAAAAGGCAATTTTGCCTTGTCGTATTTGACTCGTACATATTTTACTTTATTTCGATTCTGAAATTTTCTATTTACCTTGTCAAGTCCTCTCTCTCTCTCTCTCTCTCTCTCTCTCTCTCTCTCTCTCTCTCTCTCTCTCTCTCTCTCTCTCTCTCTCTCTCTCTCTGCGCAGCTTTATGCGTGCACCGCTCGTCTCGCTTTCCGCCGGTCCTTCCGTCGGTCTTATCGCGCTCGCGGCGACGACAGCAGCGACGGCGGCAGTGGCGTCTGGGGCGGGGCGGGGGCGGGGGCGGGGGCGGCTTCTTCCTGCTACTTGTTTCCTTGTGAATAAACGAGCGCGTAACAGTGACCCGGTTTCCGTGATACGACACAATTTACCTGGGCGACGACGCGCGCGCGTTTCGGGCAAAATTGCGGAAAAGGGACGCGACATTTCGGGGACGTGCCGGGCAATAGGGGGTGAAAGTAGGATAAAGCTAGGGACAGGGACGCGGAGGGAGGTGGAGGGGTTAACGCGTCTCCGCCGCCCTCGCGGAAGACGAAAGTCGTCGACGACGATGAATTGCCGGAGGACGGCATTACGAGCGCGCAACATCTTGTCCGAGGACTCATCGAACGTCAGCTCCTTCTTCGCTCCCTCGCTGCCTCTTTCCACTCTCCGACCGCCCTCTTGCCTGCCACCCTGCCGGTCCGTTTCACCCGCGATTTTTCTCAGATGTCGTCCGCTTCTGTCGCTCGGCGCGGGAAATAGCTGGCGGCCGTCGTCCGGTTTTACCCGCCGGCGCCCTCTCCCTCCACCACTCCCCCCCCCCCGCCCGCTCTCTTCGCTCTTTCTCGCGCACGTACCCTACATACAATTTCGTCCGCGCGAGTTCGGTCGTACAGATAAAATTGTAGAAGGAGCACGTAGTGTGCGGCCGCCCTATAAACGCGCCGTAATTTCAAGGCGCGGGTCGCGCGTCGATAATTTCTCGCGAAACGGGAACGAGCGCAGTCTCTCTCTCTCTCTCTCTCTCTCTCACTGCCGTTTCCACCCTCTTCACCGCCATGTCTCCGAGTCCGTTGCACTTCCGCCGTTTCTTTCCCTTTTTGCGCCTCGATTTGTCAGGGATATTAATCGCGAACGCGATAATGTCGTTGCTTCGTGCTTCGTGCATGACAAACGACACCGATATGGCGTGCCTGCACGAGTCGCGCCGTTAAAACGGAAGAATATATTTATTCTATGTGTTTCACGAGGTTTCTGCAAATTAACTTTCCGCGGAAATGAAAGAAGAAGAAGAAGAAGGAAGACAAAGAAGACGAAAGAGAAGGAATGGACAGGAGGAGGAGGAAAAGTTGGCGGGAGCAGGGGCCAACGACACGTCGGTCGGGTGGGGGGGGGGAGAGGGGGACGCGCAAAGCGCATCAAAAGTTTCGTGTCCCGCCACGCGTTATCCAATTACCCCGGAATCACGTACGCCTCGTAACGCTCTCAATTATCCCCGAGCTCGGCGTAGGATAAAACCTCAAGCTCATCCTCAGTCTCGATGGGCGAAACTTCAACACGGACCGGCGCGGTAACAAACCGGCGAGGATGCTCGGAGGGATGTTCA